GTACCACGGAAAGTGAAACCAGAAAGTGAAAGTCAAATAGAACATATGGGATTAATCTAATAGAGACTGGCCCTAATTCCCCAACCCACTTTTTCAAGCATAATACTCTACGTTAGTAAAAATTGTATCTTACTTTATGATGGTATGCACAAAAGTCAATTGGCTAATTAAGAGAAATAGCAATAATATTAGTTTTTTAATACTTACATTAGAAAAGTGGGTTTAGCACCAGGATGGGGGGTTGGTTCCAGGCAGAGGTAGATTATTGGCCTCACCTGTATCACTTGTATCAATTTGTAATTACTATCCACCATATAGCTTTGCAGGGCCTCTTTGTCAAACCCCCAAAAAGTCCATATATAGTCCACATCTCACCATCGTTATCACTGACTTGTCGCTGTGGTGGGTGACGGTGAAGAACCTGCAATGTTTTTTGATGACTAGGCGACCAGCGATCCTCCCGCGCCAGCTCACAGATATGAGCAGAGATGCACCGCGTAGTGAAAGTCCGGTTCTGGCGAGGTACAGCATAAAAATGTTTGGGTGAAAACACTAGATTTTAACGTTTAGTAATAAATAATACCTCAGACTAAAGTTAGGATAATATAATTGACATTTCTGGATTCCTTGCAGGTCAGGGAATATTTTGAATGTAAACTTCATATATTTTGCACAAAAGATAAAATATTTGCTTTGTGTAAACTAAATTATTACATTAGATCTAAAATTTGTATGTCTAATGCAAAATCCATGATGTTTATATTCAAAATAATCATCATATTGTAAGAATTCCAGCAATGTAAATTATATTCTGGTCGAGTAATTTGTATGAATTTTATGAGCTAAAACAAACATCTTCAGTTAATAAAAAAATATATTCTTCAGGACACTATCTGTCAATCAAAGTACCCCACCTTGCCTCCCCCTCCTCCTCACACTCACGCCAGCTGGGTCGGTGGTCCCAACCCTCCCCCCCAGCCCCCACCTTCCCTCCCTACCAGAGAAATGTTTGGGTGAAAATACTAGATTTTAACTTTTTGGAATAAATAATACCTCAGACTAAAGTTAGGATAATATAATTGACATTTCTGGATTCCTTGCAGGTCAGGGAATATTTTGAATGTAAACTTCATATATTTTGCACAAAGGAGATAAATATTTGCTTTGTGTAAACCAAATTATTACAGTAGATCTAAAATTTGTATGTCTAATGCAAAATCCATGATGTTTATATTCAAAATGATCATCATATTGAAAGAATTCCAGTAATGTAAATTATATTCTGGCTGGGTAATTTGTATGAATTTTATGAGCTAAAACATATATCTTCATAAAATAAACAAAGAAATATTCTTCAAGGACACTATCTGTCAATCAAAATACTTGCCATAGCTGGGTCGGTCCCTCCCTCCTAACCCCCCCACCTTCCCTCCCTACCAGAGAAGCTTTGGGAGAAAATACTGTCGTATATTTACATTTTTAGTAATAAATACTAACTCAGACTAAAGTTAGGATAATATAATTGACATTTCTGGATTCCTTGCAGGTCAAGGAATATTTTGAATGTAAACTTCATATATTCTGAACAAAGGATAAAATATTTGCTTTGTGTAAATCAAATTATTACATTAGATCTAAAATTTGTATGTCGAATGCAAAATCCATGATGTTTATATTCAAAATGATCATCATATTGTAAGACTTCCAGCAATGTAAATTATATTCTGGCCTGGTAATTTGTATGAATTTTATGAGCTAAATAAAAAAAAATTAAAAAAAATTATACTTCACTGCATATGAGTAGATGCACCGCGGAAAGTGAAAGTCCGGTTGTGGCAAGGTACGCGTAAATGAGAAATCGCGGAAAGTGAAACCGTGTAAAGCGGGGTAATACTGTAATTATTTTAGTAAAATGATCAAGAATAGTGGGACACAATTTATACAATTGGAGAGGAAGGAATGGCGGCGGTAAGGAATTAGGTGACTTACGGTAAGAAAATGATTGTGGCATTTGAAATGCACTTAGAGACGTAATTTTAATACCATAACATCAGTGTTCGCTGTGTTTTTACCCCGTAATTTCCCTCATCTGTCATGCCCTGCCCACTAACAAGGAATTTAAGATCATAGGATAGAGTACCGTAATTGAAAAAATAAAATAAAAAATAAAAGAAATTATAATAGAAAGTTTGTCGTTTCTTTTAATATACTTAAAATCATTAAAACAACAAGTATATAGCAAAAATAAAGATAATCAACAAGCAACTTCTAATTATAACTGTTTCGTAAACATTTACCAATATACTGTACTAAGATTAATCTTTTATATTTCAGACCACATGCCGGTCACCTACTGAAATAAGATTCTAAACCCAAACAGTTAAATGTGTAGTGAACTTGTTAATATGTGTAAAGTATAAACATATAGTTACCCTGCATTTTAATTTTTATATAATCATTCAATAAAAATCCTGAATTATGAAAAATTTTCCCCTAATTAATGTTCCACAGATCAACACTGAGCCAACTGACCTGCAGTACCTGATTCAGGACCTGGTGCTCATGACTATTCCGGCCTTGGTGATGGGCAACACAGGACCACCTTCCTACCTCACCCCAAGCCCACCCTCACGACGTATCCTCAGTTTTCTCCCTTCGGCATCTATCTTCTCCTTTTTGGGTCTTCAGGCACTTGCTTACTGGACCATCCTGGCTTATCTTCGTGCCCAGTCGTGGTCAGTAGATTTCTCTTCTTTTTTTACATATACAGTATAATTTTCGCCACTTATGATCTTACTCGCTGTTTACTCCTGATTGTGAGACTTACTGTATACTGTACAGTATTTGATATTTGTACATAGGTAGTTATTACAGGCATACCTTAAAAAATAATAATTTTATGTTATGTATGGGTATATCACTGTGACATCCTTTTATATTCTGCTTAGGGTTTCCATTAAAACATGGAAGTTAAAAGCAAAGTACTGTAATATTAAAAGAAACAAACATTACAAAGTCATGCACTTTTGATACAGTTATGTTTCTATGTATGATTTGTATGTATGATATTGCCCACATCAAACATTAACAGTTAGACATGTTACTGTATGTAGTTAGTCAATTTTAGTCCAGTATTGTTAACTATTCCCTTATTAGTTCAAATTTATTCTTCTTTCCTTTTAATAATTTTTAATTGTCTGGATTTTCTTTCATCTTGTCATCCATTCAGGTTTGAACCATTCAAGTATGAGGAGTACAGGCAGCTAGCGATTCCCTCCTATGAGAATACATCACTCATTACTATGAGCTTCTACTCTGTCATCATTGGAGCATTTGTCTTTTCTCACTCTGCACCATACAGGAAGCCTATTTACACTAACTGTAAGTTCTGTTTCATACTTGCTATACTGAATTATCATGTTATTATACATTGGAAGACACTTGAAAGAGTTTTAAAAAAACTGACACCAGTTCGAGGCAACTTTTGTTGCATCACCTGCAAAAAAAATATTTATTGATGTCTATGATTTTTTTCCAAGTTGTTTGAAGTTATGAAACACCCCCATATGATATATATGCAACGAGATGAATTTGTCACCAAGTTGAATGTGTGACCTAGGTTTTCTTTGTTTACTGTACTTTTACTGTACAGTAAGTTCTTATTTGTCATTATGCATTTATTTATCATCCACAGACATCTTGATTGTGTATCTGTTGGTGGCAACATCGTTCAGCATCTTCATCACCTTCTGCAGGGAAGCATGGCTCATAAATTTTTTTAACTTCCGACGTTATCCTGAAGCTGGCTTCTGTGGTGTGCTGTTTTTTGCTGCATGTATTAACTGCATTGTCTGCTTCATGTGGGAGGTGTGATATGTTTGACTATATCTCATTACACAGGAATCATGTTTCAAGGTTTCGGCTGGTATTGTAGCTCCAGAATATAGTTTCAGTAAAGTACAAAACTCCACTCAGTATACTATGTTACCTCTTAAATTAGTTAGAAATAAAAACCCTCAAGTAAATTACAGTAGTGATGGAAAGAGAGAATTTACCAGGAAGGGTGAAGAGGATCATCTCTGATACAGGTGTACAGTATATATATTGTCTAAACTTGACCTTAACTGAACTTGGCATTAGTTCTGAAATTATCATATTCACTTGACTAATGTTCCAACTGCTTTAATTCAGGTAAGTGAGGCAGCAGAATCCGCCTCTTAAGTAAAGATGAACGCTATTTATCTTTGACATCTATCTTTGACATTTATCTTTGACATTATCGAGATTTCTTATATGACTAAAACAGATCTGTTTTCCAGAGGTGGTTATTATATGGTGTAATGCAACAGTATGTGCTGCCGTGGTTCCAATCCATTTGTGGGCCACATCCACTCTACACAAAACTAGAGGCTGAAATGAAAGCCAACCAAGAATGGCCACCTCTCACAGAACCCCACCAATCAAGGATCCAGGGATACTCTAGTGAAGGTACAGTATAAAGGATCTCCTGTACAGACACATTACAATATAGTGGGTGCCTTTTGTACAAAAGATACTGAATTTCATATTTTTCCTGACCCATTGGTTTTGTCTTTTCTAAGGGGAACCAATGGTGGAAAAGGAAGAACTGGATATAGGTGATGAACAATATGGAGACGACACCATGCTCATGAGAAAGCTGACCCGCCGACATCAGTTTCAGGCAACTGTGAAGTACTTGCCAGAAAAGTCCCACATTAATTCTAACACCAAAATGGCTGCAGGGAACACCACCATCAACATGAGCTCCATTGACGACCAGCAATGGACACAACATGAAAATGAGCCTTTGATAGATCACCATTCACTATCTCCTCTATACTCTCCACCAGAAAGGTATTGTTATATTTTATTTTCTCTACAGTATATCTTATTTCACTTTTCCACTCTCCCTCCTTCCTCAGCAGTTGAATAATAATCACTAATAAAGGATTATGTAGAAGCAACTCAGAAGACCTTTTGCTTCAATAAAGGCACTTACTGTATTATAAATATGGCCACTACAGATTAAGTGTCTACTTTCTTCCTGCTTAGGAGTCATTCTGACTGATTTATAATACTACTATACTGTAATTAACTCATCTGCTGGCTGACTACATGGGCAAAACTAATTAAACTATTTCCTACATTTATACACAGAAGACTGACTAAACTAAACTGGTGAATATGTGAGGATGACTGTCTAATTGACTATACAGTACTATAAAAATGACTATACAGTACAGGAATACAAGGTACCTTGCTATTTGCAACCCTACTTATTCGCAAATGAAAAATTTCAATACCCTACAATAATATTTCAAACCACGTAGCTCTCATATTCCGCCGCTTCACACGAGTGTGATTTTCCGTGAGTGAGGACCGGAGTGGTTTAGAAATTAATGAAGTTCAATGGGAACGTTCAATGGAGCATGTGTGGGAGACTCACTCTACGCCTGTACCTGTACGTACTTCCAAACCGTGGTGTGAAAAAATATGCCGAGTGTTCTAGAATTCTTCATATGGCAATGGAGTACAGTACTTCAGAGGAACTAGTTTAAAAGTTTACACTCATCTACAAATAATAGACACACACACACACTGTTCTTTTTTTAATTTTTATGTTATTGTACAGATATCCCCAATATACAATCTCTCTAACTGCGATGTATTAAAACTACCCCACTATTTTAAATAAAAAAAATTTGCATGAACAATTGTCATCATCCAACCAATTGAGAATATGGAACGCATCTCTTGGTGCACTTGTATGCTGCATTCTACTGCGCCGCCATGCAGCCACCCGGCGCACTACAGTCCCAAACTTTGTTTCATGGTGATCGCACATGCACCATGATCGTGTAAATCAATGATTATCAGTCAGTATCATGTTGTTTATCATCAAAGTTTTTCTTTTTACATTCCAATGAGATGACATAACTATTGTTCACATTGTACTGTACTCTGTTTTGGTGACTGTGAAGTGGTTTTTGCTATGTTTTTTGTGACTGTAAAGTGCTTTGCCTCTGTTGTTGTCAACATGATGGTAGCACTGTTGGCTGTTAACATCGTTTTTACGTTATCATTGTTCGCTCTGTTTTTGTGACAAGTACTTTCACTCTATTTTTGTAACTGTGAAGTGAGCAGTGTAATGTTGAAAATGTCTGGGAAGGCCAAGGCACCCAGGATTACCATGTGTCTGGAAGTGAAGGTTGGCATTGTAAAGCTGTGTGGGAGTCAGAGTGATGTCTCCACTCCACGCTCAAGAGTCCCCTTAGCCTTGAGAGGGACATGTGATGACAATCAGGCTTGCTCCTAATGATGTGGTGAGGATTTTTAAATTGTGCTGTAGGTATATTATTATTGTAGGAATTTCATTTTCAGTGATATTTGTGGGTGAAGGACTAGCTAGGAACATGTCCCATTGAACCCCAAGTTCTAATGATCCCAACTTAAGATATTTCGACGAGCGATGTGTTTTTCATGAATGTAACCCCCATCATGAATAGAGGGATACGTACCTGTAGTCATTTTACAGAATTATGTGGAGTGTACCTAGGTATATACAGTGATATCTCTGTTAGCCAGAACAGATGGTGCAGAGCACTTCTGGGAATGAGAGATTTCCGGGTAATGAAACAACTCTCTCAAACCCGGAAAAATATCCCTCATCCCCGGAATTTTCCGAGTACCAAAAAATTTTTCTCTGAATTTCTGGAAAATGCACTTGATTTTCAACTTTCAAACCCGGAAAAACTCCCCACCCCTGAAATTTCCCGGGTACCGGGAAAATTTCCTCATAATTTTGTGGAAAATGTACCCCTCGGAAAATTGTTCCCAAAACCGGAATTTTCCAGAAAATTCCAGCTTTGGGAACGATTTTCCGAGAAAATTTAAATTCCGGCTATAAGATTAACTGAGTAACTTCCAACTGCATGAGAATATTTGACTAATCAGGACTACAGTATATGAAAATAATGACTAGGCTACCAACTATATAAGAATATCTGACTTAAATATTGGCTAAACTACTGACAACAAGAATATCTGAGTAAACTAATGACTAATAATATGAGAACAACAATTCCTGTACTGTGTTTGTCAACAGTATGGAGTACCAGGAGCCTTGGGATGCTCTTCAGGGTGGAGGACCAAGCTTCAAGTCTAACCACAGTGTGCGGCATCAGATTATGAAGGGCACCAGTGGGGCTTTCAAGACTTTTAAAGGAAGTGTCAAAGTAAGAGACTTGTTTTACTACCATATATAAGTGTACTGCACTCTGTTAGACACCTGTTTGGAAAATGGTTTCCCATGAGAAGGTACACTACAAGAATGCCTTAAGATTGTTGGTACGCCACAAGGCAAATAATTAGTGTGTTAAGTAGTTACCGTAGAGGATATAAGCTTAGTGGTGTTGTCAAGATAAGGAGAAGTTTGTTGCTGTAGTTCAAGAATAATATAAGAATTTTTTGTTGATGTGCAAAGTATAAGAATGATCCAACAACCCTTAGGATAGGAGGCAAGTGCTGCACAAGACCTATGTTAGAACAAGTAGTATTCAGCATAAGTTACCTTGAAACTTTGGTTTAATTTGACCAATATTAATCTTAAGACATGTGAAAACAATAATGATGATAATATATTATAATTAAATATAAAGATAATCAAGGTACAGTAAATCCTCGATAACTCAGCACATATCAGTACAGTAGATACCCAGTTAGATGCCGAGTTATCCCAAATTCCGACTTATCGAGGCACTTCCCCCCCCCCCTCCCCCTTTCTACAAAAATACAACAATAAAAAATTACTGACCCATATATGTGTACATGTAATTACTAAATGTAAAAAGGTAACACTTACCAGCACTGCAGGTGAAGAATGAAGCATCATAGTAGGTGACACAGAGGCATGGTAGATGATGCAGATGGCCAGATATACCGAGATTTTCCCAGATTATTTTATATACAGTCAACCCTCGCTTTACGCGGTCCCACATTCCGCATTTCCACGTTTACGCGGTACCCTGCCGAAACCGGAATGCTCACATTCCGCGGTGCGTGTACCCCTTTACGCGGAGAGCGGCTGGCGAGCCGCGCCATTTTTGGATCCAAACCTCCCGCCCTCTCCCGCCATCCACCATGTTGTGTAAGCGGTGCGAGTAGGTTGCGCAGTGTGTGTCTTTGTTGCGTTATCAGTGACGTCATATGATGTATCGGACTGTAATTGGGCCATGCATCCTTACCTCCCTCCGCTGCTAGCTGTGATTGGTTTAAAGTAATATGACGTGTCCACCCACGGGAGGGAGGGAGGGAGGAAAGACGACGCTTGACCTAGCAGTGGCAGTTTCATCCCTCCAGGCCACACCGTGTAAGTGTGCATCCATTGTTCTGTAAAATGGCTTCCGCCGGACCACCGCCCCCAGAGAGAAACCTTTCCTGACCTGGACCCAGCCGCCCTAAGCCAAAAAAGACACGACGTTCCTTAAGCTACGAAATTAAGTATAAGATCATACAAGAGTTGGAGAAAGTAACAAGACAGGTTGATCTCGCGCGCCAGCATGGTGTTAATGAGTCTACGATCAGGACAATTAAGAAGGATGCAGCCAAGATAAAGGAGCACATGAACATCACAAAGTCTACAGGTGCTTCTATGATCAAGTATTTCCACAACCAGGTGCTTCTCAAGACGGAAAAATTACTTGTGAGCTACTTGGTGCGTCAGGCGCGACGGAACATGGCGGTGGACACGCGCTCTGTTAAGGAGTACGCACGTGAACTGTATGCTGCAGTGTCACGAAAGATGGGAATTACAGAGCCCAAACCCTTTAATGCTTCCTCTGGGTGGTTACAGAGGTTTAAGAAGAGGAACAAGATCACCAATATCAACATTGGTGGTGAAGAAGCTAGTGCTGACCGTGTTGCGGCTAGGGAATTTCCTCCGTTTTTACGTGAGATTATGGAGGAAGGACAGTACACCGACGACCAGGTGTTTAACATGGACGAATCTGGTCTTTTTTGGAAAAAGCTACCTTCCAAGACCTTCGTTGTGAAGAATGCCAGCAAGATTCGGGGCCGGAAGTTGCAGAAGGAGCGCATCACCGTCCTGTTTACCACCAATGCCTCCGGTACCTGTAAGCTCAAGTTATCGGTGATCCACACAGCACGCAAGCCGCACGCCTACAAGAGCATGGACATGACCAAGCTAAATGTCCACTGGCTGACCGCACGTAAGGCGTGGATGTTCTCTACACTGTCCCTCTCCTGGTTTGATGACTGTTTCGTTCCCGATGTGAAGAAATTCTGTGAGCAACAGAATGTGCCATTCAAGATTTTGTTGCTACTGGACAACAAACCAGGACACTCGCCCTTACTGTTAGATCGTCACCCCAACGTAAAAGTGGTCTTCCTTCCTCCCAACACTATGTCTATATTACAGCCCATGGACCAAGAGTTAATCTGTAATGTAAAAGCTGCATTCTCTACTAAAAAATTCAAGCTCCTGAACGACTACACCAACACCAGGGAAGAGTTGCGTAACCTGAGTGACACCACCACCGATAGCAAGAGCGAAGACGACGAGGATCAACAGTTGGCAGAGCAACAAGTACTTTTAAAACAATTCTGGAGAATATTCAACATCAAGAAAGCTGTGGACTTCTTGGTGGAGGCATGGGATCAGCTGTCTGTAGCAACTGTTCGTCACGCATGGAGACATGTGTTGCAAGGCATTCCGGCCGTTAGGCAGAGTCAATCTGTGACTGGTGAGGTTCAGACTGTTGCAGTAGCAGTGGACCTTGCCAGAGAAGCTGCGCAGAGTGTTACAGCTGCAGGCTTCTCCGAGACCACCAACGACGACATCCTGGAGGTGATAAGGGATCCTGATGTGACTACCGACGAGATGGTAGATGATGATGACGTCAGTGAAGAGGCAGGTGGTGCGTCATCCCAAGAAGAACGCCGCTTATCCCATAGTAATGTTAGGGGTGCCATCGAGTGTATCGAGAAAGTCAAGCTCCTCCTTTCCGACGACCCTGACGCAAACAGGTATGAAATCTTCACTACCCAGCTGTTGCAGACTATGGAGCCCTACATCAAGGTTTATCACGACAACATAAACACCAGCCGTCAGCAAAGCATAAAAGAGTTCTTCGCCCGCAACCCACCACAGCCAGCCCAAGCCAGTGATAGTGACAGAGGTAGAGACAGTGATGATGACTTTGAGGGATTTGTCAGGGAGGCCCTGACAAGTGTGGATGACAGTGATGGTGACTCACCTGAGGGCCAGTAGCCTGCCCTCTGCCTCGGAACCAGCCTCCATTCCCGTACGCCGACCCATCTCTTCTACTAACGCGTTAACTCCAACCTTGTTTTTTTCTAACCTAACCTTCAGTTTATTGACTGTTCCTTTCTATATTATGTATGGGTGAATGCCATCATAAAGTTAAGATGTTATTTTTAGTAAAACGTACGTATTGTGTCGGGAAAAAGTGGAGTTTGGGGGTCGGCCCGGTCTCTATTTCAATTAATCCCATATGTTATGTTGTTCACTTTACGCGGGCCGCCGTGGGTTGAATTAACCGCGTAAAGTGAGGGTTGACTGTATACAGTACCTGTATTGGCATTTCCCCAGTTACATTAATACACTCGAAGACCATATCCATGTGGAGTTATATGAAATTCCGAGTTATCGTGGTTTACTGTATTGGGCTATTTATTCAATCAGATAATAATTATTTATGAACTCTCTACTTTTGGCAAATTTCATGACTCACTAGAAGCTTCTGGAACACCAACAAGCCCATTTAACTCACTCTTAAAGAACTTAACTTCTAAGCTGACTTGTATTTAAAAAAAAAATTTGAGTACTGCATGCATACAATGATGTTTTCTTTATTTTGTTATTTAAGAAGTAAAACAAATGTTCAACTGGTTTTATGTGTGTGTGTAACAAAGTCTACTGGTAGGCCTGGGGTAACATGGATGACCCAGGGCCCTGGAAAACAGAAAATCCTCAAAACTGGTTTGGTTTTGGTCCCAAGGGTCCCAGATATGAGGGTTTCTACCTCTCATAATGCTATAATTGCATTCCTGGAAAATTATGCACTATAAGAAAGAGCTCTACAAGAAATTATTACAACATGGTTTCAATAGATACATTAATGGCAGTACTATTTCTTACCTACAAATGATTTGTGAAGGCTTCATTAAGTATTGGTAGTACTGGCAGCACTACAGGTAATAACGGTTCTGTCTGCAATAAATAAATTAAATATTTTACAATAAAAAGAATAATCTTTAATGATAATTGATATAATAAATGCATACTGTACACTGCCCTCATTTGTTGAGTGTGCAGCTCGGAGAAATGACGAAAGCATTGTGTATTGCATGGAACTTATGAACAGTTCTGTACATACAGTATAACAAAGCAACATTCCAAGAGGTACGTTTATACAGCACAACTTAATCTCTTCAAAGCAGTGATTAATAATTTCTGTAACATTAAAAGAAGCTGATGAAGAAGTTAATGAAATTTTCAACACATTTAGGTGACAATGCTTTCTTATTTTAATTTATTCTTTTGCAGAGGCAGAATGCTGTTGAAGATAGTGCAGCACATCCATATGAGGTGATCAATCTGTGTGACACTCGTACTGACAAAGAAGAAATTTATGCCACTATATCGGTAAGCTTTCTGAACTCACAGAACTGCACTGAATGTGTGCACTAATCTTGCTTTTTATTGCTCCATAATCATTGTCCTCTGTACAACCAAATTTAAGTTTTCCCATTGTTTCTAAAACAAGAGATTTCACCCTGAATTTCATCACTGGCATGTCAGTACAATAATATGGTCATTAAGGAGCTGCACCCTAGTGGCAGGAGTAAGACTTTTGGTCCAACTTTTCCTAAATTTACATTGAAAATTTACGAGTGACATTTGCTGCTCTTTGACTCTTCCAGCAAAATCATGCCAAACACTTTCTCAATTTTAAGGAAGACACCCAAGTATTCTGTCTCAATGGTAAATAAAAGTACCTGAGCCACATAAAATACTGCTTTGCAGCATACAGAACTCAAGAAGTGAAAAGCTATTTGCCCTAATTATTATTATTATTATTATTATTATATATATATATATATATATATATATATATATATATATATATATATATATATATATATATATATATATATATATATATATATATATATATATATATATATATATATATATATATATTTAATAATTAGGGCAAATAGCTTTTCACTTCTTGAGTTCTGTATGCTGCATATATATATATATATATATACAGTTGTACCCCACTTAACGCGGTCAATTGAACCCAGAGGGTCCCGCGTTAAGTGAAATCCACGTTAAGTGAACAACAGAACATATGGGATTAATTCCAATAGAAACCAGCCCGACCCCCAAACTCCACTTTTTGAAGGCACATACCTATGTTGTAATAAAAATAACATCTTAATTTTATGATGGTACATGCACACAATTAATACTTAAGAGAAATAGAGAAATACAGTCGCCAAGTTAATGTCCATTCAAATAATGGACTCAACTCCCTCCCCCTCTCACACTACACTGCCGGCTCTTCCCTCTCAGATAAATTTTTGGGGGAAAACCACTAAATTTTAATAAATAATACCTCAAACTAAAGTTAGGATAATACAATTGACATTGCTGGATTCCTTGTAAGACCAGGAATATTTTGAATATAAATGTCATATGTTTTGCACAAAAGATAACATAGTTAATTTGAGAAAATTTTTTATCTAAAATTTGTATGTATAATGCAAAATATATGATGTTTATATTCAAAATGATCATCAAATTATAAGAATTCCAGCAATGTAAATTATATTCAGACCGGGTAATTTGTATGAATTTTATGAGCTAAAACAAATATCTTCAGTTAATAAAAAAAAATAATAATTCTTCACGGGGTAACAGATGGTCGGTCGGTCCCTCCCTCCCCTCCACCCCCCACCAACCGTCCCAAGGAGATGTGTGGGATAACCACTAAATTTTAATAAATAATACCTCAAACTAAAGTTAGGATAATATAATTGACATTGCTGGATTCCTTGTAAGACCAGGAATATTTTGAATATAAATGTCATATATTTTGCACAAAAGATAACATAGTTACTCTGAGAAAAATTTTTATCTAAAATTTGTATGTCTAATGCAAAATATATGATGTTTATATTCAAAATGATCACCAAATTATAAGAATTCCAGCAATGTAAATTATATTCTGGCCGGGTAATTTGTATGAATTTTATGAGCTAAAACAGGCAGTCAGGCAGGGTGGCGGGTGGGGCAAATCTAAAAATAGCGTCTCGAGCCGGACACTCACCGCGTATATGTGGAAAAAATCCGTGTTAAGTGAAAGTTCAGCTCTGGCGAGGCACACGTATATGATAAAACGCGTTAAGTGAAACCGCGTTAGGCGGGGTAATACTGTGTATATATATATATATATATATATATATATATATATATATATATATATATATATATATATATATATATATATATATATATATATATATATATATATATATATATATATATATATATACACACACACACACACACACACACATATATATATATATACAGTGACCCCTAGTTTAACGAACGCCTCGGTTAACGAACTGCCTTCCATAAGGATCTTCAATTCGGTTAACGAACAAAAATTCGGTTAACGAATTTCTCACGAACCGACCTCAACATGTTTTCGCTTGCACTGGCCGGGCAACCAGCTTTAGTATCAGTCCACCAATACATTAATCGGTTCTAGGGCTTAAATTCCTAACTATTTTAGTAAATATCAAGAAGTTTATACTATTCAATAATTTTAAAAGTTTAATATTAAATTTTTTAGTCATTTTAACAATTATTGAACATAATTGAAGGTAAAGTGACTAGTTTAATGCGCAGCATCCAGCCTCTTAACACAGCAAACAGGCGTTAGTCTCTCTGTTTTCACTGGAGGTAATATCTTGCTTGAGACTCTCTTCAACTAAACGCTTTTTTTCTGTGTTTCCAAGCAAATTATTGGTCATTTTGAAATATATTTTACATATTGACAATATATAATGCAGTACAGTGTTGATTTAAAGAAAATAATCTTGAAATACACCAAGAGAACTAAAATTTTATGGGTGAAATGGTGCCATGGGGTGACTTCTCTTCCACCCCAATGCCTTCTCTTCTTCCTTCTCCTCCACCCCCATTGTAATTCCCATCATCATCATCATCAGGAGCCTTCTACATACACACCTCAAAGTAAGTGAAATTTTCTACCATTTTTGTTGAATTTAGGAAATTTTCGGTGAGCTGGAACCAATTACCCAAAAACCCATTGAAACAATGGTTTCGGTTAACGAACGTTTCGGTTAACGAACGACCTTCTGGAACGGATTGAGTTCGTTAACCGAGGGGTCACTGTATATATATATATATATATATATGCTGATAACCACAAGGAAAGAAGAAAACATGAAGTTCCCAAGCGCTTTCGTGTAATTCACATCTTCAGTTAACCCTCACTTTATGCGGTTAATGTAACCCGGAGGGTACCGCGGAAAGTGAGGAACGCGTAAAGTGAATAGCATAACATATGGGATTAATTGAAATGGAGTCCGGACCGATCCCCAAACTCCACTTTTTGACGACACACAACTATGTTGTAGTAAAAATTTTATCTTAACTTTATGATGGTATGAAAAAACAAGTAATATAGAAGAGGTTAGGTTAGGAAAGATAAAGGTTAACATAGGAAAAATAAAGGTAAGGTTAGAAAACTAAAAATTAGGTGTAACACTTACGGTAGTAGAGGAGATGGGTCGGCATACGGGGATGGAGGCTGGTTCCGAGGCAGAGGGCAGATTACTGGCCCTCAGGTGAATCACCATTACTAGGTGAATCACCATCACTGTCACTTACAGTTGTCAGGGCTTCCCTGACAAATCCCTCAAAGTCACCTTCACTGTCACTATCACTGGCTTGGGCTGGCTGTGGTGGGTTGCGGGCGAAGAAATCTGTTATGCTTTGCTGACGGCTGGCGTTGATGTTGTCGTGATACACCTTGATGTACGGCTCCATAGCCTGCACCAGCCGGGTATGGAAGACTTCATAGCGGTCATCGTCATTGTCGCGGGAAAGGAAGGACTTCATCTTCTCTGCACACTCCATGGCACCCTTAATATCACTATGACTTAAATTGTGTTCTTCGGAGACTGACGCACCTTCTTCCTCCTCTTCACTGACGTGTTCTTCTTCCAACATCTCGTCGGCAGTCACTTCAGGATCTCTGATCACCTCCAGGATGTCGTCGTTGGTGGTCTCGGAGAAGCCTGGAACTGTAACAGTCTGCGCAGCTTCTCTGGCAAGGTCCACTGCTACTGCAACATTCTGAACCTCACCAGTCACAGATTGACTCCTCCTCTCACCTGGTATTCCATGCAACACATGTCTCCATGCGTGACGAATTGTAGCAATAGACAGCTGATCCCATGACTCCACCAAGAAGTCCACAGCTTTCTTGATGTTAAATACTCTCCAGAATTGTTTGAAGAGTATTTTTTGCTGTTCTAACTGTTGATCCTCATCTTCTTCGCTCTTGCTATCGGTGGTGGTGTCACTCAGGTTACGCAACTCTTCCCTGGTGTTGGTGTAGTCGTTCAGGAGCTGGAATTTTTTTGTTGAGAATGCAGCTTTCACATTGCAAATCAACTCCTGGTCCATGGGCTGGATTAAAGACGTAGTGTTGGGAGGAAGGAAGACCACTTTTACGTTGGGGTGACGATCTAACAGTAGGGGCGAGTGTCCTGGTGCGTTGTCCAGCAGCAACAAAATATTAAATGGGACATTCTGTCGCTCACAGAATTTCTTTACATCGGGAACAAAACAGTCATCAAACCAGGAGAGGGACAGTGTAGAGAACATCCATGCCTTACGTGCGGTCAGCCAGTGGACATTTAGCTTGGTCATGTCCATGCTCTTGTAGGCGTGCGGCTTGCGGGCTGTGTGGATCACCGATAACTTGAGCTTACAGGTACCGGAGGCATTGGTGGTAAACAGGACGGTGATGCGTTCCTTCTGCATTTTCCGGCCCCGAATCCTGCTGGCATTCTTCACAACGAAGGACTTGGAAGGTAGTTTTTTCCAGAAAAGACCAGATTCGTCCATGTTAAACACCTGGTCGTCACTGTACTGTCCTTCCTCCATAATCTCACGTAAAAACGGAGGAAATTCCCGAGCCGCAGCACGATCAGCACTCGCTTCTTCACCACCAATGTTTATATTGGTGATCTTGTTCCGGATCTTAAACCTCTGTAACCACCCAGAGGAAGCATTAAAGGGTTTGGGCTCTGAAGTTCCCATCTTTCGTGCCACTGCCATGTACAGTTCACGTGCGTAGTCCTTAACAGAGCGCGTGTCGACCGCCATGTTCCGTCGCGCCTGACGCACCAAGTACCTCACAAGTAATTTTTCTGTCTTGAGAAGCACCTGGTTGTGAAAATACTTGATCATAGAAGCACCTGTAGACTTTGTGATCTTCATGTGCTCCTTTATCTTGGCTGAATCCTTCTTTATAGTCCGGATCGTAGATTCGTTCACGCCATGCTGGCGCGCCAAATCAACCTGCCTTGTTCCTTTCTCCAACTCTTGGATGATGCTATACTTCACCTCGTAGCTTAAGGAACGTCGTGTCTTCTTTGGTTTAGTGCCGCTGGGTCCAGGTAAGGAAAGGTCTCTCTCTGGGGGTGGTGGTCCGGCGGAAGCCATTTTACGGAACAATGGATGCGCGTTTACACGGAGTGGCCTTGAGGGATGAAACTGCCGCGGCTAGGTCAAGCGTCGTCTTTCCTCCCTCCCTCCCTCCCTCCGGGTGGACACGTCATAATACTTTAAGCCAATTACAGCTAGCAGCAGAGGGGGGTAGGGATGCATGGCCAATCACAGGTCTGATACGTCATATGACGTCAGTGATAACGCAACAAAGACACACACTGCGCAACCTTACCGCGCCGCTTGCCCAAGCGGAGGGAGGAGGAGGGAGAGGCAGGCAGGCAGGCGGGCGGGTGGCGGGTGGGGCGAATCTAAAAATAGCGTCGCGCCGGACACTCTCCGCGTAATGGGGTTCACGTACCGGGTAATGTGAGCACGTGAGGTTCTGGCAAGGCACCGCGTTAACGTGGAAACGCGGAATGCGGGACCGCGTAAAGTGAGGGTTAACTGTATACACATATATATATAATTTATTTATTTTTTTTTTTTTGTTCCAATTGCATCGGAACTCATAGTCTCTCATGCTTTTCTTAATCCTTTGGGAAAAAAATATATCAGTAACAAACCAGTTAAAGGCATATTTACATCCAAGAGTCACTGTTGATGCAAGTACATACAGTACTAGGGAATGCACCAAGTGGAATCTCATCCCAAAAGCTCTTATGTCCATATTCATTTGCAAGTGAACTTTATTGTCTTTTGACAATTATTAACTGAATTTCCAAATTGAATGAAAGGAGCTTCTACCATTGATCAGATTTACCCATGTTTTCAAACTTGTGTTAAAAATGCGACTCTCATTTCAACAGGAAGATCTGTCTCAAAACCACGAGCAGACATGGACACCACCACTAGTGCACACAAACTCCTCTCAAGAACAAGAAGAGTTGCAGGCATCTACAGACGAAAAGAATGAGGTAGGGCTGCAAGAGGAAACAGAGTGGGGAAGGGGAGAAACTGATAATTTAGAAGAAATGGGGCTAGGAAGGATAGAGTGGTGCATAAAAAATCCTGATGGAGAGGATGACGACAATACTAGCCTGATGGAACACATGGATATTGCATGGCAACGTATGTCTGGGTATCACCTGCAACCCTCCTTCACCAACTGGAAGGTGAGCATCAGTACCACTGTTGCTGTGGTAGGATGATCAACCTCTTGTCACACAATAACTACATGCCAGTACTATGAGCTTTTGTGACATGTCCTTTGCTTTATTTCTCCAAGTGTTGCAGTGCATTGGTTAATATGCTCCCCCCCCCATCCTGAATTGATATTAATTGCATCTAATGATTTTTTATTCAGACCTTGGATATAGGGATATAGGTTTAGAACCACTAGTCCATAGATTGTACAAAAGAATAATAATGATAAAATTACAGTACAGATAAAAAAGTCAAATAAGATTTTTGGTAAGTTTGGACAACTTTACATAGTATGAAATTTTAGGTAATGTAATATACAGTATTGCAGAAACAGAAGATACAATGAAGGAATGGGAGGCTGCTTGAATATAAGATGACCTTCAGTACAGGCCTGGGCAATGCAAGGGAAGAGCAGACTTGTAAAGTAACAAAATAAATTTGCTTGATACTGTACTCAAGTAACATTTTTGGGTATCTACTGTACTTTTTAAAAAATACAAATTTTTTTTAGTACTTTTACTTAAGCATTTTTTTTTTTTTTTACGGGTATTAGCCCACCCGGACACAGGTCACCGACCCACATCAGGGCTCGGGGGGCGAAAACGTAATAGTAACAGTAACAGTAATAGTAATAGTAATAATAGTAATAATAATAATAATAATAATAATAATAATAATAATAATAATAATATTATTAATATTATTAATATTATTAATATTATTATTAATATTAATATTAATATTAATATTAATATTAATAATAATATTAATAATATTAATAATATTAATATTAATATTAATAATAATAATAATAATAATAATAATAATAATAATAATAATAATAATAATAATAACAATAATTCAGATAAGTAAAATTTATAATAAAAAATACAAAAATAAAAATAAAATAATGATAACAAGAATAATAATGAAAACACTGCAATAATAATAATAATAATAATAATAATAAGGAACCATAAAGAAATTTAAAAAAAAGATCATTAGTGAGAAACGATATATGTATGTTGTGTTGTCAATAGCAAGAGAAACAATTGAGACCCTGCAATTGTGTGTAGATGAGGCAGAAAGTCAGCTCAGCAACCTGGGACTTGGTCACAATTTTTGTGATGCCATGTGGCAGCAGGGTCTACCATTAGACAACACATTATGCTTCCAATATCTTCCCAGGCGGTAGTACCTCCCTGTTTGGTAGTTGCCTACTACCTACTGCCTGACAATAAAAGTTTTTTTTTTTTTCGTGCTGGTCAAGCCCCGACCAGAGGTTAGCTAGACCCCTGGACAACAATTGAAAAAAAAAGGTTTTTTCTAAAAAAACCCCAGTTTTTGTGATATAGTCCAGAATGTGACGTCTAGCTTATACCTAGGTATGTAAATGCCTAGCATTAACTCGCCAGGTCAACATACAGGCAATTAAAACATCTAATAATTACTTAAATACGTAATATTAGGAGGACACGTCGCAACCTGGCATTTAATTGCAATTTTCCAAACCCCCTCCCGCACCCTCCATCACACGCATTGCTACCGTCATCTCTTGCCCTAGAGCGAGCAGTAAACAAATGTCAGCTCTCAAGGGGTGGAGATGGGTGGGATGTCGACGTCGCATTCTGGACTAAATCACAAAAACTGTTTTTTAGAAAAAAATGGCTTTTTATTCAATCCAGAATGCGACATCTAGCTTTGATTACCCAAGCAAGGGGTGGAGAGGGAGGTGACATTGCGTATAAGGCTCCGCTAGCTGAGGTCAAGATTATAATTATAAACTTTTTTGAATATTTTCCAATATTAGGACCATTTACCGGAAGATAAAATGTTAATTTACAGTGGGGTATGCTATAATGAATCTAATTGGTTCTAGAACCTTGTTCGTTATAGGATTAATCCGTTCCAGGCCCCCAAATACAACCACTTAACACTGAAAAATAATATAAAATTGTAAAAATTGTAAAAAAGTGCATAAATATGCATCTAAACCCCTGAAATAAAGAATATCATTAATACTTGTAATAAAGAAAACAATAAAGTGGTAAAAAAAAAAAATTTTTTTTTTTTTTTAATCGTTGTAGGAGTTTCGTTCGTTATAGCATTCTCAATTTTATAGGTAAAACCGTTCATTATAGGAATATTCGTAGTAGGATCCGTTCGTTATAGCATACCCCACTGTACATATCCCAATTAGGATATTCACTTTATTCTGATGAGGAAGAAGAAGGTTCCTGGTTGTGGAGATTAACTAGGTGGGGGAGGGGACCCCAGTTCCACCACATGTGAAGCATCTTTCAGAGATTGATGAAGATAGCTGTTTTGAAAGGGTTTTGAAGATTTCCAAAAGCCCACTTCTTTGATCTGATTGAGGCTCATATGCTGCAGAAAGACCACAGACCCTACATATTTCCTGGTGTCATGTGCCAAAAGTTTTGCCAGGGTCTGCTTGACTCACTAACTGAGATAAATATTTTGTCATTTGACCAGGAGACAATTTCTTACCATCCTGTGATGAGAATACATAGGGGCCTCGATTAGCGAATCTGGTCAACCATTCTTGAAGAATCTTAACTGGGCACAATATATGAGGGTGACATCTTCCTCAGAAAATACCAATAATGATGGATGATTGGAAATTGAAATCAGCTCACTGATTCTCATACCTGTTGCTATTGCAAGGAAGGAAGGCTGCCTTCTGGAACAATCTATTCCGGTTCAGATTTATATTGTAATTAGGCCCCATAAGAAATTTAGTAACTTTAGCTAGAGACCAAGGTGGGATTCTCTTAGGCCAAGGGGGTCTCTGAATGAAAAAAGGACGATCTGAGGGGATCTTCTTCACGGTGACATTTAGGGGAAGCAATAATTTTTGAAAAATCTAGTTAATCAAGGATTTCTTGTTATATTTTACTCATATTTTAGGGTAATTACTCTGTAGTAGTAAGTAAATGAATGTTAAAGTAATTTGACATTGGACTGACGGATTATTTCTTAATTTATTATAACAATTCTTCTTCTATAACTAGGTAAGGCTCCCATTAACACAAAAAGTATACATTTTCTTTAATTATGTTATTATGCTGTCCTTAGACTGGTCTTTATGATACTTTTAAAGTACAGAATACCCTCATTAATTCAGCAAAAGGGGGGCTCTGGGTCACTCAAATTACCAAAAAATCCGATTCTAAAGAGATGGTGAGAGCTGGCAACATTGTTAAGGAGTTCAAGAATGATCACTTGATACTGCTCTGTAAACATGAGACGGGGAATATATTATGGCGCAATTCCTCATCTGGGATATTTTGGGGGAAAATTAATTATTTTTCAATACTGTTTTATTAACCCACCACCAAATGAACATAAATAACATGGGAATAATGGCGAAATTGCATGCTGTCATTATAAAGGAATTGCAGGATGACAGCATGGGAGGTGGCGAGTTATTCTCCCCCCCCCCCCTCTCCAGCTACAGACCCAAATGTAGTTTTGTATCTTAATATAATTCATATTTTATTCCTAAAATTCATTCATCTTAGTCTATTTCATAATTTAGTCCTATAATCGACTTTTCACAACCGCATGGTTATTTCAGATTCATTCTAAATTAAAATTGTTGATTTGGAGATTGTGGAAATACAGTATCTGACATCTCCCGAGGAATTGTTGAGGGAGGCCTTATATAAAATTATTAATGGAATATTGGCAAAGACTGCAGAGAACACATAGTGACAAAATTTACACCATTTAAGATAATTAACAATATTTTAGGGTAATTTGATCTTAGGGCATTTCAGAAATAAATTTAGGTTAAGTATATACTGTATGTGTAATGATTGAAGGTATGACACAGCTGCTTAGGCACCACAGAGTCATGTGTCATGGCAAACCCGAACAGATGGTAGTGATTGCTTACCTTTCTGATTCTTCAGTGTATGTATATCTTGTCATGTATTTCATACACAAAATTATTAAAAATATTTCATAAAACTACCTGTTGGTAATATGCATCCATATGGTGTACAGAGTATATGAAATATAAATGAATTCCATGCATTGACATTAAACAGGTATACCCTGTACAGGATATAGGCATTTCAAAATCCAAAAATATCCCAAATCTGAGACCCTTTTCAGCCCCAAGCATTTTGGATAAGGGATACCCAACCTGTACTAACTTACCAGTACTTTACATTCATGTTATCTCTGTTACTATTTGGTGCTGATTTTGTATTATGTACTTTAATAAACAGTATATTTGATTATCTATATATGAACTCTCACATTCAAATTTACAAAAAACTCTTTATCACAATTAATTTTTTATTTAATTTTTTCCCCCATGTTCAGACTGATCTCTCCGGCACCAGTACAAGTAGCAGACCTGTCAGCATTGTAAAAGGAACATGTTTACAAGAACAAATATATGATGTACCCAAACCACCAAGACCAGTGGGAGAACCATACTCACCTGCTGCCCCTACAGGAACAATTTCAAATGAATTACCCGAACTGCCATTACATTTACCAAGTGATGCTACTGTAGAGTGGAAAAATGAAGAAAGTACCTGCTAATATTTTTTATACAATGACAGTGTAAGAAGATATGACTGCTGTATTTCTTACAGACTGATATCCCATGTTGGATGAAGTGCCATTTTAAATGATGTACAGTAAATGGAGGGAAAAAGTTATCATTTGGAATTGACAGTCTTGACTGAAATTATACAATCAACATTTAAATAATTACGGTATTACACAGTATTGTACAATAAAAGTTGTGATGTTGAGAAACAATGCATAAACACAGTATTGAGCAGCAGTTCTTGTTCTTTTTAGTTTATTTACTAAGTACTGTATGGACAGCCCTTTTCTCATCTCATATCTAACAAGTGCAAATGTAATTATTTTTGTACTGTATTGCAATTAGCTTCACTAAAATACTTGATAGAGATCATTACAGTTTCTATATTGGATGACTGACTCAATAACAATGATAACTTGATTATATCTCTGCATTAAACTTAAAATTACTTATTATCAGAGAAACAACCAAAAAATGCTGCAGTAAATAAAATTGAAATACAGGGTATACTGTATTTACCTACAGCTAATACAATTATATCCACATTGTTATAAAATTTTATGACAACAAATAGTTTTCAAATAAATTATAAAATTTTCAACAGGGCATGAAATACTTTGCTTTTGAGGTGTAAAATAGGGTACAAAGTGCCATCTCAATAACACATTAGGCCACTTTTAGTTACCATTGACACCAGCACATGTACAGTACAAGGTAAAAAGCAAATCCTTTACTGAGAGGTATTTATACTTTACAGTACTATCTGCCCACAGACTATAATTAACATAATACATTTTAAAACTTGCATATACAGTAGTACATTGAGACCTCAATGGATTTCATTGAAGTGAAATATTTGGTTCACATCAAATGTTGCTTGTACAGTACAATAATATTGGTAACTGTCTATGGTATAGGGCTGGAAGTTCCCACCACCTCATGACAGCCTGGCTGTGTCATGAAGTATTATAGTTCAGTAGCAAGATGCATTATTCAAGTGAACAATGCAATTGCATTTAATGTGGGTCTTCACTCGATCATACTGGTAACAAGGCAGTCACTGGTGGGCTGGCTGTCTTTATGACAGTGAGGATATTAACTTTAGTTTTCACCAGTTGACCTTCACAGCTGAAATGTCAATCTATTGAACCGCTTACCTCTTAATCCTATTGCCCCATTTGATCTGCCAGTACTGCATAACCGTAACAAGGCAGTCACTGGTGGGCTGGCTGTCTTTATGACAGTGAGGATATTAACTTTAGTTTTCACCAGTTGACCTTCACAGCTGAAATGTCAATCTATTGAACCGCTTACCTCTCAATCCTATTGCCCCATTTGATCTGCCAATACTGCATATCCTCACTAGGTAGTCAACATAGTTTTCTGCTCTTTTATGTCTTGTCTGTGGCAGTGAATGCTCTTTGCACTTTTTGTAACTACAGCCCTGTACAGTATATTCTTCAGTTCAGCTTAGTTACACAGTCTATTGTATAGATATGTACATACCAAGATATGTGAACACGCCTGACGCCAGGACTCTTGTTACCATTCATTGTACCATTTATTCACATGTCCGTATTACTACATATTATTATAGCATGTCTGATGTCTATGCTTATGTCTAATGCCTATGTTCATTTACTATGTCCCGATGTACTATGTCTGTACCGCGCTAGTCGAGTAATTAGAAGACCCCATTTATTGTCCTAGGAATGTCTAGCAACTCCCCTTGCCTAGCTAGCTAATTTCCCTCAGATCGGCTCCGGCCTACCTACGGTCCGGGGTCCCTAGTAATCGCTCCTGTATCGGTTGGCTATCACGCCCAGTCTTGTACACTTATTGAATATACCTACTGCTCGTGCCCTGGAGTTTCAAGAACCTTGTCCTGGATTACACCACACCACATGGCGCAGTTTGAGTAGCTCCAACACGACAGTTTACAAGCATCAAGAGCCGGCCCCGTCTGTTTCCCGGCCTCGTGTTTCCCGCCCAGAAGATATACTCCACAGTGCCCCTGGATTTAAAGTGCTTTGTGACCTTGTGAAGTGCCCTAAGTGAAGTGCAGTGCCTTTCATGTCTCTTTGCTATGTTTCTGCGGCCCTACAGGTAGCAGACACGCCTTCAGCCCAGTTTCCAAGACAGCACTTCCGGCATACATCCTCCATCTACGCCGGCCCGCAAGCCACTGCCCGCGTCCCCTCCACTGAGTCATCACCAGCATCTCGCCCGGGCGCGCGGAGGAATACACCGCCGCCAGCCGCCTCCTCTCACTTCACAAATATTACAGTCAGTACTCTTTTACTTGCCAGCCAGTTCCTGCACTTAAGCAAATCCATTGGCGAAAATATAGCACTTCACCTTATTCTCCTTGTCTTTCCCATCGCAACAATACCAAACACGAGATGTCTGACCACGACGATTTGCTGGGAAATTTATATGAGGATTATGAGGAAGACGACGCCTCACACGCCGGGCGCGCCAAATTCAAAGGATGGGAGCCAGGATATACGTCGGTTAATCCACTTCCTACAAGTTTCTCAAGAGAAGGAAGCCCAAAGACGTCAATTAGAGGAGGAAAAACGACGTCAAGAGGAATTGTCAAGACAGTCAGAGGAATCAGCTTACCGTCTTCAACTTCAACAACAACACCAAGCTGATAACCGCAAATTCCTGGACCTATTGGAATTGCTGGCAACGAGGACGACTTCACCAGCTGCCACAACCAATTCGCCAGCTTCAGCCTCTTCATCTATCCTTCAGACAACGCCTCCTCACACGTCACCTATCTCCCCTAGGTATGCCTCAGTGTCTTCTCAACCACCTGTTCCAGTCTCAACTCTCGTCGACCTCTCCGTGCCTCCTCCACCGCCTGCCGTCTCGAGTACACCCCTGCACAGCAAGTCTTCAGTTCCCAGCCCCCCACCTCTTCAATCTGATGCAACATATCAAGTATACCGTCAATGGCGACGTCGTTTCGAAGACTTTGCTGTTATGTCTGACCTCAATCGAATGCCCCCTCATAAACAACTCATCCAATTAAGATCGTGCATTTCCCTCGATGTTCAACGCCTCCTAGAGCACACGCTAGCCATCCCCCCTGACTCCCCCAGGTCAGTGACAGAGGTTTTAAACGCCTTGCAGAGTCATTTCCGTGGCCTCCGCAATGAAGCTTTGCGTCGTAGGGAGCTGCTATCCTGCAAACAAGCTTCTGGGGAATCATTCTCAGACTTCTATGCACGACTTAAGGACCTAGCAACCGAGGTGGACCTATGTACAGGCGATCCTGTAACCTGTGCTGAGATCCAGCTAAAGATGATCTTGCTGATGGGTGTACGTGACGAGGACCTGCTTCAGAAACTCCTCACCCTCGACGCCGCCTCTTCCCTCACCGACTTCGTCACCTGTTGCAGGTCGTATGAGGCCACAAGAGAGGCTGCCTCAGCTATACACTCATCGCCATCTCAAGTCCACGCCGTCTCCACCTACAAGAGGAATCAACGCCAGATGCAGACGACGTCCTCTCCACAGCCCCCGTCACAGTCACCAGTTTCTTCTCCCGAATCCTGCAGAAACTGTCAGCGCCAGCATGGTCCAGGAAAGTGCCCTGCGGCTGATAGTACATGTCGAAACTGTGGGTTTCAAGGCCATTGGCCCCGCACAACTCGATGTCCTGCCAACAAGGCCTCATGCAACGCTTGCAACAAGCAAGGACACTTCGCCAAGTGTTGCAGGTCCACCAAGAAGCCTCCATCTCCAGGTCAAAACGTCTCTTTACAGCCCGACAGAACGTCCACACCACCGTCTCCCAAGAACAACAAAGGATGCCGACGCGTGGATGATGCCTCGAGTGACAGGTCCCCCAAGCCCGTCAATGTTCGTCTGTCCTACGGTACCAACTCTTCCAACCTCCTGATGATACCTGACACGGGCGCGGACATCACGGTGATTGGACCAACACACCTGGACGCCCTCAACATCCCCAGGAGTAGCCTGTCACCCACAGCCATGAACGACGTGCTCACAGCGGACGGGTCCCCGATGTCTCCACCTTTGGGTTGCTTCAAGGCAACACTACAGCTCGGTCCCAAGTCTTGCCTTGCCACAGTCCACGTCCATGAGGGCATCCAAACCCCTCTCTTGTCATGTGGCCATTGTCAGGACTTGGCCATCGTCTCATCCGAGTTCCCAAAGCCCATCCTCGCTGTGACACACCTCAACAGGTGTGCAGAGATACCTGTTTCAGCCATGACCACACCTGCTGCCGCCCGGGAGTTCTTTTTTCGTCAGTTCAGCGACGTCCTTGTCTCCAAGCCCGACCTCCAGAAGACGCCGCTCAAGAAGATGACAGGCCCCCCGATGAGAATCCACCTCAAGCCTGGCGCGACGCCTTTCGCCATCCACACACCCAGGCCTATCCCCTTTGCCATACGGGACAAGGTGAAGGCAGAGCTCGATTCTCTGGTGCAGCAGGGGATCATCAGACACGCCGGTGAGGAGCCCTCCGAGTGGTGCCACCCTATGGTCTTGGCACCCAAGCCTGTAGGTGTTCGCATCACAGTGGACCTCACCCATCTCAACTCGCAGGTCTCCCGTCCCGCCCATCCATCGCCTACGCCCATCCAAGCAGTCCGCAGCGTCACCCCGTCTGCAAAGTTCTTTACCACGGCGGATGCACTACATGGGTACTGGCAAGTCAACCTGGCGGAAGAAGATCGCCACCTCACTACATTCATCACGCCCTACGGCCGCTTCCAACACTGCCGCGGACCCATGGGCTTCGCAGCAACGGGGGATGCGTACTGCCTCCGTGGGGATATGGCTCTGCAGGGTGTCACCAACTGCGTGAAGGTCGTAGATGACATCCTGCTCTTCGACGATGATCTCCCGGCCCACTTGAACCGAGTTCATCTGATGCTCACAAGATGTCGTGCCCATGGTATCACCCTGAACAAAGATAAATTTGTGGTCGCCGCCCCCCAAGTTAACTACTGCGGCTACAACATCTCGCCAGAGGGGATCTCAGCTGATGAGGAGAAGGTCAAGGCCATCAGGGACTTCCCTACTCCAGCGAACCTGACCGACCTTCGCTCATTTATGGGCCTGGTAAATCAGCTGGCCGACTTCTCCCCTAAAATCGCCACATCAGCCCAACCTCTACGCCCCCTCATGAGCCCCAAGCGCTCTTTCCTCTGGACTCCTGACCACGACCTAGCGTTCAGGAATGTTAAGAAGGCGTTGCTGTCACCACCAGTCCTGGCACCCTTCGACCCGTCCTTACCAGTGGTCCTCCAGACCGACGCCTCCCGTCTATACGGCCTCGGATATGCCCTCCTTCAAGACCACGGCCAGGGTAGACTGCGCTTAGTTCAGTGTGGCTCCAGGTTTTTGACGGACACGGAGACCAGATACGCCACCATTGAACTAGAGATGCTGGCAGTCGCCTGGGCTATGGCCAAGTGCCGCCTTTACCTGTTCGGCCTTGGGCATTTCACCCTCATGACGGACCATCGCCCGCTCATACCCATTCTTAATCACTACACGTTGGACGCCATCGAAAATCCTCGCCTCCAACGTCTCAAAGAGAAGACCGCCCCTTACGTCTTTACAGCTGTGTGGCGCGCCGGGAAGCTTCTGTGCATACCAGACGCCCTCTCCCGAGCCCCTGTTAGTCGCCCCACACCTGAAGATGAAGTCGACTGTACCACGGCCGCTGCTCACGTTCGGTCTTTAGTGACACACACAGCCACTTCTCTTGCTGACAAGACGACGACGACGCCCTCCATCGAAGACGATAGGACTCTCCAGGAGCTTCGCATCGCCGCCGCTCAAGACCCGGCATACGTCCAACTCCTCGACTACGTCTCCGCTGGATTCCCCACCAACCGCTACGACATTCACGCCTCCGCCCTCCCCTTCTGGAAGCTAAGGGATAGCCTCTATGCGGACGGAGAGCTGGTGTTGTACGGCCCCAGGATCGTCGTTCCCGCTGCCCTCCGCCGGCGCACCTTATCCCGCCTCCATGACAGCCACCGCGGCGTTGAAGCCACCAGGCGCAGAGCCCGTCAGACCGTCTTCTGGCCTGGTATTGACGCCGATATTAAGAGCACGGTTGAGGCCTGTGAGCCTTGCCAGCAACTCCAGCCCAGCCAGCAACAAGAGCCGTACCTGTGCAATGACCTCCCAAAGCGGCCCTTTGAGTCCGTGTCCGCCGACTTCTTTAATGTGGCCGGAAAGTCTTTCCTGGTGGTCGCCGACAGGCTCTCTGGATGGCCCGTGGTAGTTCCCTGTGGTCGGGACACCACCTCTTCCAGGGTCATCCGGATGTTTTGTTGCTTCTTCCGGGAAGTCGGAGTGCCTCTCCGCCTCCGAACCGACGGTGGGCCCCCGTTCAATAGCCACGAGTTCAAGAGCTTCGCCGAACGCTGGGGCGTCCACCACATCGTCACCTCCCCTCATTACCCGCAGGCGAATGGCCACGCCGAGGCAGCGGTAAAGTCCGTAAAATACCTCATCCTCAAGACAGCACCGACGGGGAACCTGGACTGCGAGGAGTTCGACAGGGGCCTACTGGAACTCCGTAACACCCCTACCCCTGCCGGACGCTCTCCTGCCCAGGTGTTGTATGGCCGCCCCCTTCGTACTTGTGTGCCTGCCCACCCCCAGTCCTTCTTAGATGAATGGCAGATCAAGGCGGACGAGTGTGACCGCCGTGAGGCTGCCCGGATGGCCCAAGTGACAAGCCACTATGACGCCCAAGCCCGCCCCCTTCCCAGGTTGGCCGTCGGCCAGCAAGTACGAATCCAGGACCCGACGTCACACCGCTGGGACAAGGTCGGGGTCGTCATGGGCCGTGGCGAGTCTCGTTCGTACCAAGTCCGCCTCCCCAGTGGTCGTGTGTGGTGGCGAAACAGACGCCACCTCCGCCCAGTGCCATCCTCTAGTGACGAACCTTCCTCCCCGTCCCCTGTGTCCCCTTGCCCAGACCAGGAACGAAGGTCGTCAGTTGATCCTCCCATTGTCCCTCGCCGCTCCCCCCGACTCATGGAAAAAGAGTCCGTAGCCGCTCGAGATTGCACTACGAGCGTAAAGGGGGAGGGAGGTGTATAGATATGTACATACCAAGATATGTGAACACGCCTGACGCCAGGACTCTTGTTACCATTCATTGTACCATTTATTCACATGTCCGTATTACTACATATTATTATAGCATGTCTGATGTCTATGCTTATGTCTAATGCCTATGTTCATTTACTATGTCCCGATGTACTATGTCTGTACCGCGCTAGTCGAGTAATTAGAAGACCCCATTTATTGTCCTAGGAATGTCTAGCAACTCCCCTTGCCTAGCTAGCTAATTTCCCTCAGATCGGCTCCGGCCTACCTACGGTCCGGGGTCCCTAGTAATCGCTCCTGTATCGGTTGGCTATCACGCCCAGTCTTGTACACTTATTGAATATACCTACTGCTCGTGCCCTGGAGTTTCAAGAACCTTGTCCTGGATTACACCACACCACATCTATGACAATGTTGAAATGATAGTGAGGATTGTCACAGTCTCTGATGATGAGTAGTTTGTAGTTCCATACTTTACCCTCTTGATATCTCTAAAGCCCCGTCCACACGATCGAGCAGTGCCCGGCAGGCTTTGCCTGTTTACCGGGCAAAGCCTGTGTTTTGTTGTACACACGGGGGTGGTTGGCGGCAGTCATAGTCAGGCGCCGGTAGGTGGTCGGCAGTGGTGGGTGCGGTACGATCACCATGGTGTGTCGCAGGAATAATCGCCTGACAGTTAAAGCGAAGAGCATAGCGTTGTGTACTATAATAATTGCTGCTATGTGCAAAAAGAAGAACCAAATGCAGAAAAGGGAATGGTGCAAAGAGTGGTTAGGTCGAAGAAAAGTATTGGGAAGTCATGCCACGATTTTACGTGAACTGCAAGATGGACTTGAACAAGACTTCACCAATTACATGAGAATGGACCCCAACACCTTTTACAAACTTCTAGCGAAAGTGGAACCATATAACAAAAAACAGGATACCAATATGAGGGAAAGTATATCTGCAGAGGCTCGTCTAGAGGCAACGCTCATATATCTTTCAACTGAGTGCACCTACACGCCACTTCAGTATAGAACGAGGATATCAAAACAAAGTTTGTCTCGCATATTACCTGCAACTTGTCAAGCCATGTATGAAGAACTCAAGGAAGATTACTTGCAGGTGAGATTTGTAGTACATAAAAATTCATTGAATAATGTTAGAATTATGATATGCATAGACAGGAAGCTATGGGACTAGAGTGAGGAGAGCGGCAGGAACGAAGAATACACACGAATGTCCTCATTACATAATACATAAACAATCTCCCGTTTATTGTCACGCCAATAATGTACATTGCATAAGCTTAGTTGGTTATACACTGGACATCTGGACCGAGCGGGGAACATATACGCATCACATTTGCAGTACTTAACTCAGGTTTTACAAAGTGCTAGCATACGTTCTGTCAGTATCTGTGTTCATACCTCACCGACTTGAGGTGGCGTAGTGATCAGCTGTTTTTGACAGTCACGTGAGGTTCCAATAATAACACGTGTCTTGTATTGCAGGATTGTGTAATGTTGAATATTAATGACAATATTATAGGAATGTCGGTTTTCCGGTTTTATCGTTTGTCTGGCAAAGTCGTCGCTCCATATCCGGCAGCAAACCACCAGGCAAGCGGACCATGATTTCGCTCAACGACGGGCACGGGCATTCCGCTGGTTTGCCCGCCAATGGGCATTTAGCGCATGCCCGCCGGGCACTGCTCGATCGTGTGGACGGGCCTCAAGAAATTTCTGATGACAATTAGCTAGTGGGACTGACTCATTGTCCATGTTAAGGATCTTATAAAACTGAGAGGTGCTGCAGCAAAAGGAAATACCAGCCTAATCTATGTGCTCAGTTGACTTGGGATTGTATTGTACAGTATATAATAGCTAAATTTACATATGTTTTGGAATTATAAGACTGGGGAGCTTTTCAGGAGGATGGTAAGTCACCAAAATCACTAGATATTATATAGGGAACCAAATCTGCAAAATTAGTGAGCCAATAAATTAATTCTGGGATTTTACCAAATTACTACAAGACTTCAGACTATTATTTTGAATTGACTTTCTACTTCAAGATTCTATGTTTGTTTCCTCAATTGGAACCTTGATAATCTTGCATAGTTAATACTGCAGTTGCCAAATTTGGGAATTTTCCTGTTTAAACTAGAAAAGTAAATGGCAACCTAACATTGCCCAACTTTACCCATGTTTTTATATGTAGCCTATATAGTAGCAATAAAGTATTTAACATTATTATTTATTCTTTTACCCAAATATCTTCCAAAATAAACAAAGCTGTAGGCAGGATCAATCATTTATGGAGCGTGAGGTGTCACCTTTCGGCCAGCAGATGTGGACGTATTAAGAGAGGCAGTTTTTTTTTAATGGGGAATAGCCCACCCGGGCACAGGTCATCGACCCACAACGGAGCCTGGGGGCAAAAAAATAAGAGTAAGAAGAAATTAAAACTAGAAGAGAAAAAGACCAAATTAATCTACACCACGAAGATGCCAGAAAACCAGCGTTTTGAAGTGAGACAGATTGTAAAAGTATGGAAACACAGAAGAAGACAAAGCATTCCACAGTTTGGTTGTGTGAGGAAAGAAGGATGTACTATTACGGGTTATTCTAGTGTGATCGACATCCACAGAAAAACGGTGGGCACCGCGCGTAAGACGCGTGTTACGAGCCCACAGCCTTACCTGCAATACACAGGATGCCAAATCCACCGAACATTGCCTGTTAAAGTACCTCCACCCCCACTTCTAATTCCTATCATCATCATCAACCAGGAACCTTCTACATACGCACCTCAAAATAAGTGTACTTTACTGCATTTTTTTTTACTTTGTACTTTTCTGTGAGCTGGAACCAATTACCCAATATCCTATTGAAGCAATGGATTCGGTTAACGAAATTTTCGGTTAACGAACGACTCTGTGGAACGAATTGTGTTCGTTAACCGAGGGACCACTGTACTTATTTAAGAAATTGGAGGATACTGAAATATATCCTGAAACAGCAGCAGGTTTTAATATTCAATAAAATCATATCACACATTATTTAAACAATGAGGCACCAAAAAGAGGCTCATATATAAAGCACACATTTATGATATACATCACGTAAGGCGGAGACTAACACTGTCGGAGGTTGTCAGGTAGCGTACCCATTTATTGAGGTTGTTGACTGAGGGAGTGAGCTTGACACTTTCGACTCGCACTCCAGAACACACCCACCTGGATACTTCAAATTCCAACTCACCAGACTCCACGACTGCATTACCTCCAGAGTCCACGAGCTGTGGTATAATAAAATTATATGTACTGTACTGTATCTTCTTCCTATACAGTATTTATAATAATATATAGTGAAAAATGTTAGATTGATTTTGAAAATTTCAATTTATGACCAAGAGTGACAGGGAAACATGTATGAGTATATTGTATTCTGTACCAGACTAATGCCTGGGTAAATTGGGCTGTAGAAGTTGTATTATGTATAGAATTTAACATTCATGACTACAAAGTCCTCAGGCAAATGATCCTTCTCAAAACTAAAACATTTTAATAATGAAAAAAAGTTTTTTGTTTTGCAGAAAAGAATAACAATTATGTCATTTGCATCAATTGAGGATGAGCTAATACAACAAAGAATTGAATTTTTGGACATCTTGTAATCTTTTTTGTTAAGGAAAGACAGAATAGTGATCATTTGATCTGCAGCGTTTGATTAATTGTGATGTGAAAATATAAATTTGATATATGTTGATGATTTATGATACACGATTTAAGACATACTGTATAGTGATAATTTGATACTCTAGAATCATTTTTGTGAATTAAAGACAAGAGAGAGCATCTGATTTGTAATGTTTGAATTGTGTGATTAACTGTACAGTATAATTGATTTGAAAATATAAATTTGATATTTTACATTACCAAGTTTTAGTCGTAATTTAAGAAGCAAAATGTTTATTTGTAGTGTCTGATTTGTTCAATCGTGTCATTTGAAAATATAATTTGATATACTGTACAGTATTATATTACTGTACTATACCAAGTTTTAGAAATTAAATGAGATAAGGAAACATTGAAAACCTGGAGCACATTGAAATTCCCAGCCCAGGAGTACACGAATACTAAATCCTTGATTGTACCCATCACATCTGCAAATCACAACTCAAGCAAACCTTATGACATTGATGGTTGGCACTGACTAAACAATTAGCACATCTCCCTTCCAACCATTGCCCTATAAAATGAGAGATCAGAAACAAAAGTTATCACTGAGAGCTGACTGAGGCTTGGTGTACTCGAGCCCATGCAACCTCATCTTCCTCTGTAAATCCAGGAACAACCTCAGTTTAGCCAAACTTAAAAAGAAACTTATTAGGTGGATGGAGGGTCTCTAATTCTCCTTATCACTTACTCAAAAAGTGAGATTTCCAGGATCAATCAATTATTCATACCAACATCAGTTCCAAGAAGACTTATGTGTTTGACACCAGATATAAGGAAAGTAGGAACGAGTCAAAGAAAAAGTGCTCTTGATGTCCCATTTTAAAACTGAGCTGGGATCACACATACTGTACCTGTATAGTTAAATATGTCTAAGAAGTAAAACCAAAGCTCCGAGGATCAACTTGTTGACTAAAATCTGAAAGTTAAATAAACCCAAATACAGTAGAACGTCGATTTAAAGTGATTGAATTTAAGATTATTGATTTAAAGCGACAACCACAATTAAGGACAATGTTTTAATTTAAAGCAAATCTTTACTATTTTGCGTGAGTCAATCTGGCGCATCATATTTTAAAATTTGTGCCTAATGTTTCTCTGGGCACGCCACACTGTCCTAAGGGCAAAGCTGTACTGTACAAGTACTCAAAATTATTTACTAATTGATTATTAAATTTTTGTCTAGTGCAAACTATAGCATGATTACATTCAAATTAATCACTATCTTATAAGAATTCCAGCAATGTAAATTATATTCTCCCCGGTCACTTCTGTGACATTTTATAAACAAAAAACAAAAACTAAATCTAAAGGACATAAATAAACAAATAAATACTTCACTAGACCTTCGGCACAACTGTCAAGCGTGTCGCTGTCACCTACCCCCCCCCCCTCCCCGCCCTAATCTTCCCAGCCAGGGTTGGGTGGTTATAGGCTTACAGTTTTTATCTTATATAATATCACAGACTAAAGTTAGGAGAATATAATTTGCATTGCTAGAATCCTTGCAAGACAGCAAATAATTTGAATATAAACATCATATATTTTGCACAAGATAAAATTTTAGCCCTTTGTAATAAAATTAATTAGAACATGTCAGTTCAGTGACATTTTATAAGAGAAAACTTAAAGTCACTCTTAAGGACAGATAATTAAATAAGCACTAGACCTTGGCATCAACTGTCAAACATATCCCCTCCCCCATCTTCCCATCAGCTGATCGCTATTAAACAGACCATTTCACGTCCCATAATTTTAGCTGTGTTGATTTATGAGTGTTTGTTTTAACATAATACTACAAAAAACAATGTTTTGTATATTCTAGGAGATGGGTTGAGGTGCATCTGGGTAGACTCAGTCTTTTTAGTATTTTGTGTTTCTCTCAAGTACGAAACTAAATTATTCCATTGAAACAACACTTCGATTTAGTGCGAATTCGGTTAAAAACAACCTCTCTTGGAAGGTATCTCGTGTTATATCGACATTCTACTGTAGTAAGGCAATCCTCCCCTTTAAGACGAGAGTCCCAGAAAGGAGACAAATGGTATGACTCCCAAGCCTTTAACCTTTGGGTATCCTGATGCTTCCATATGTTGCTCTTTTGGGCTTTATTGTTATGATAGGAAAGGATTCACTGAGTCAGGGATTAATTAACTGAAAATGAGTAATGTACAGTATTTACCAACAGTCACACATGTCAGGGATTCAAATGATAGGTTTTCAACCCTGCGGAGTGTGAACTGGATTTAAGGTTGCCTCAGATGTGTTTAGGATATAAAGAATCATTGATCCATTAGAGAACATATCCCTGTATTCATCCAAGCAGGCAAGCCTTGATTACATAATGATATACAATGAATTGGTTGGTTCCTCTTTTTTGCCTGAAACAGGTTAATATATTCAAATTGTTTGATAAACATATAGTCAGCACACCTTTTTCCATAAATATATACAATATTGTGCTGAAGTACTGCTAAGATTTATGAAGAATCTTGTAGGTAATTTCTATAATTCAGAGTGGTACTTGCTTGTTAAATATACCTTAATTCAAGACACAATCCAACAAACAATTACAATAATTTCTTCTAAGACTTACTCGAATAAATGCTTGAGCATAGCTGCCACCAGGGAACTGTGAAATAGTCCATGTGATAGCCTTATTGTCTGGTGAGAAGTGAACTGCCTGATCCCGTGGTCCTGAGGTCCTTGACATGACAGCAGCAGTGGTGGCTGGCGCAACTGTCCGGAAGGTGACCTGTGGTGCTACTGTGCCCATTCCTGTGTTGCTGGTCAACTTCAGTCTGAGCTCTGAATCACTGTGCAGCAAAACTTTGTTAATAACCGAGGTTATTCACATAAAAAGCAGACTACACAAGACTCAGATCTGACATCACACCGAACAAAATAACCTCTCAAAGCTGTATAAAAAGAGTTCAGTGGAAACTACATGAAAACTGGAGTACAGTAATTATTCCTAATAACAAAATTCCATTTAGTAAGAGTTAGATTTAGTGGAATGAATTTGTGCTGGTATTTGCTCCTTCATCTAATGGAGCCTTCCACTAGATCAGTAGTCCCCCAACCTTTTGTAAGCTCTGGGCCAGTTACATACTTTTTACATTTACTCTTGGACAGGATGTATGTATTTACCCCAGTGAGAAGGCTGGCTCTCTTTCTGGGCCTGGTCTGGGATAAATACACACGTCCTGTACACAACACTCAGGACAAATGAGCAGTTCCTCTCTCTCTCTCTCTCTCAAACTATAAAGTTGTATCAAGTTATTACATATTTTCATTAATTTCACTCTTACAAAGAATCCCAAATAATTCACAGTATTCTAATAAACCTATGGGGGCTCCACAATATGGTTTCACAAACTACAGGCTGAGGACCACTGCACGAGATGAAGGGATTTTCCGGTAGCACCCCTGTGGGCTCACATCATTGTTTTGGTGCAATCAGTCAGTTTCCCACTATGCATCGCCACATATTGTTATGGTTCCCAGGTTTTTTGTATTCTCCCAGCAGGTGTGCATATATACCACTATCATCATGCCTAAAGTGGGTGTCAAATCCAGTGAAGAGAAGAGGAAGAGAGTGCATTTCTCAATTTTACAGAAACTAGAAACTTCTATTAGTTACTTTGCTAATATCCTGTACAGGTTGACAACCCTTTATCCGAAATTCCGAAAACCGAAAAGCTCTATAACCAGTTTTTTGTGGGGCAATTTTTTTTTTTTTTTTTTAACAGGGATTATTAGCCCACCCAGGCATAGATCACTGACGCACATCGGGGCCTGGGGGGCGAAAATGTAATAGTAATAATAATTATAATAATAATAAATATTCATAGTAAATAAAATTTTTAATAAAAATACACCAAAATAAAATAATAATGATTACAATAATAATAATAATAATAATAATAATAATAATAATAATAATAATAATAATAAAATATAATAATAAAATTAATAATAATAATAATAACAATAATACTGTAATAATAAAATAATAATACAGTAAAGAAATACAAGAATGAAAAAAAGATCAAAAGTGAGAAACACGACCTAGACCTATGAATTATTATTATTATTATATATATATATATATATATATATATATATATATATATATATATATATATATATATATATATATATATATATACATACATACATACATACATACATACATACATACATACATACATACATACAGTATTACCCCGCCTAAGTTTCACTTAAGCATTTTACATATGCAGTGCCTTGCCAGAGCTGAACTTTCACTTAACGGATTTTTTTTCCCTTATCTGTAGCGGTGAAGTGTCCGGCTCAGATGCTATTTGGAATTTGCCCACAGCGCCCACCCCGCCACCCGCCCGCCTGCCTGCCTGTGCTCTCGCCTCTCCTCCTCCTCCCTCCGCTTGAGCAACCCTTGTAAGGTTGCGCAGTGTGTCTTTGTTAGCGTCACTGACGTCATATAGCGTGTCGGATATGATTGTGCATCCCTGCGCTGTAATTGGCTTAAAAGTAGTATGACGTATTTTGAGGAGGGAGGGAGGGAGGGAGGAGAGGCGACGCTTGACCTACTTGTGGCCAGTTTCATCCCCTCAAGGCCACCCCGTCGTTAGCATCATTGTTCCGTAAAATGGCTTCCGCCGGTTCACCATCGCCCCAGAAAGAGACCTTTCCTTACCTGGACCCATGACTTTAAAGCCAAAAAGAAGACCGCACGACGTTCATTGCATCGCTGTTCAAGATTTGGAGAAAAGGAGAAAACTGACGAAGTTGATCTCGCGCCAGCATGGCGATCTTGAATCTGATTAAATGATCAGGATGCAGCCAAGATCAAGAAACATGAAAATCACACAAAGTCTGCAGGTGCTTCATCTATCAGGTATTGCTTGGAGAACAGGGGTGCTGGCAAAAGTGGAAAAATTTGCTGGCGGGTTATTTGGTGCGTCCGAAGTAGCGGCCTTAACATGGCGGTGGTTTGTCGCTCAGTGCAGGAATACGCCGCGTGAGCTATCGCATAACCTGGTGACCGTAAAAACTGGGAATTGCAGAGCCCAAACCTTCAATGCTTCCTCTGGTTGGCTGCATAGGTTTAAGAAGGAACAAGATCCTGTATCAACATTGGTGGTGAGGCCCAGTGCTGACGTGTGACTGGGAATTTTCCTCCGTTTTCGTGAGATTATGGAGGAAGGACAGTACAGTGGCGACCAGGTGTTTAACATGGACGAATCTGGTCTTTTTCACGAAGTTACCTTCAAGACCTTCGTTGTCCAGTCTGCCAACAAGGTAAGGGGTCGGAAGTTGCAGAAAGAGCGCATCACGTCCTGTTTACCACCAATGCCTCCGGTACCTGTAAACCGAAGTTATCGGTGATTCACACAGCCCGCCAAACGCCGCCTACAAGAATATGGACGCCGACAAAGCTTAATGTCACTGGCTAACCGCTGCGTAAGGCGTGGATGTCCTCTTCTCTGTCCTCTTCTGGTTTGACAACTGTTTTGTTCGGCGTGAAGAAATTCTGCGAGCAACAGAATGTTCCATTCAATATTTTGTTGCTCCTTGACAACGCACCTGGACACTCGCCCCTACTTATGGATCAATCACCCCAACATAAAAGTGATACTTCCTTCCTCCCAACACTAAATCATTAATCCCAGCCCATGGACCAGAGTTGATCTGCAATGTGAAAGCTTCTGCGTACTCTGCAAAAGAAGTTCAAGCTCCTGAACGACTCTACCGCTTACCAAGGATGAGTTGCGTAAGCTGGGTGACGCACCGACAGCGAGAGCAAAGCTGACAAAAGGACAAGGAACAAGAGGTGACTCAAAACTTCTCGTCAAACAATTTTGGAAGAAGTTTAACGTTAAACAAGCTGTAGACTGTTGGTGGAGGCATGGGGAGATCTGCTGACTATTGCTCACGATTAGTCACGCACATGGAGACGTTGCATAGCATACCAGGTGAGAGAATGAACCTGGTCAGGTTCAGACTGTTGCAGTAACTTGATGGACCTTGCCAGAGAAGCTGCGCTCAATATTATTACAGCTGAAGGCTTCTCCGAGACCACCAATGAAGACATCCTGGAGGTGATCAAAGATCCTGGTGACTGCAGGAATGTTGGAAGAAGAACGCCAGTGAAGAGGAGAAGAAAGGTGCGTCATTCTCCGAAGAACCTGGTTTAAGTCATAGTGATATTAAGTGTGTCATAGAGTTTACAGAAAAAATTAAGTCCGTCCTTTCCCGCGTGTGTGATGAGCGCTATGAAGTCTTCCATACCCGACTGGTGCAGGCTATGGAGCCGTACATCAAGGTGTATCCGACAACATCAACACCAGCCGTCAGCAAAGCATAACGAGTTCTTAGCCGCCCAGCCCACCACAGCCAGCCCAAGCCAGTGATAGTGAAAGTGAAGATTTGACTTTGAGGATTTGTCAGGAAGCCCTGACAACCATAGTGACAGTGATGTTGATTCACCTAGTAATGGTAGATTCACCTGAGGGCCAGTAATCTGCCCTCTGCCTCGGAACAACCTCCATCCCGTATGCCGACCTCTCTTCTACTACGTAGAGTGTTCACAAAAATTTTTCGTTTTTAACCTATTCTTTATTTTTCCTATGTTAACCTTTATCTTTCCTAACTTCAACCTCTTCTATATTACATTTTTTCTATACCATCATAAAAGTTAAGATAAATTTTACTACAACATAGTTATGTGTCGTCAAAAAGTGGGTTGATATATATATATATATATATATATATATATATATATATATATATATATATATATATATATATATATATATATATATATATATATATATATAAAAACCTAATCATTCTGAAAACTGAAAAATTCCGAAAACCGAAATGCCTCTGGCCCCAAGGATTTCGGATAAAGGATTGTCAACCTGTATATGTAGGTGTAAAATAATAAGATGTGTACATTTGGATTGTTGGGAATGTTTACATTGAATTCGTGGCCTCGTAAGGCATTTCTGCCAGTTCCAACAGTTGTCAGGTGGATGACAACCTGCTCTCACTCTCAGTATTTTTATGAGTGGTTTGCAACAGTCTACTTACCCAGTACCCAAGAATGACATATGAATAGTATGAACAGCATCAAATATCACGTAAAGGAATCATTATAAGTAATAATACAAGTAGAACTCTCCATAACACACGTCGCCAGTCAGCTTTGAGATGGCTGCACATGTTACCATTATTAAATGTAATGAAACTATAGAAGCTGTGGAAAAATAATTTCAATACAGTACTCTTATGTGACTTAAAAATAAAAGAAAATATATTAAACTATAAAATAAGAAAAATGACGAGCATGGGTATGAAGGTATGGGAAATAGATGTATGTGTGAAGGTAGTGGGTGGTTTGTTAAGTGGGTCGGGTGACTTAGCTAATTTAGACTGGCAGTATTTAAATTTAAACACATGCACATTGCAGACACCTTTGATAAACTGTAGGTTTACTTTATCTTCTTCACCAGTTATTATCCAGTTAAATTTAGCAAAGTTTAAGCTTGGGTCAAAATAACAAAAATTTATTAGAGTACAGTATAGTCTCGATTTACGCGGTCAATTGAACCCGTGGAGGTCCGTGTAAACCGAGAAACGAGTAAACGAAATAACAGAACATATGGGATTAATTGAAATAGAGACTGGGCCGACCCCCCAAACTACACTTTTTCCAACACAATACATACGAAGTAGTAAAAATAACATCTTAATTTTATGATGGTATGCACACACAATTAATATTTAAGAGAAATACAGTCGCCGGTTAATGTCCATTCAAATAATGGACTCAACTCCATCCCCCCCCCCTATTCCCACCTCGCTGGCTCCCTACCCCCCACCTTCCCGAGAAATGTTTAGGGAAAAGGACTAGGCTTATAGGTTTAGTTATAAATAATACCTCAGACTAAAGTTAGGAGAATATAATTTACATTGCTGGATTCCTTGCAAGACAGCGAATAATTTGAATATAAACGTCATATATTTTGCACACAAGATAAAATTTTTGCCCTCTCTAATAAAATTCTTAAATTAGAAATAAAATTTGTATGTCTAATGCAAATTTTAGCTTGTTTATATTCAAATTAATCACTATCTTATAAGAATTCCAGCAATGTAAATTATATTCTGGCTAGGTAATTTCTATGAATTTTATGAGCTAAAAACAAAAATCTCAAGTAAATAAACAAATTATACTTCACCAGACACAATACATACGTTGTAGTAAAAATAACATCTTAATTTTATGATGGTATGCACAAACAATTAATATTTAAGAGAAATATCAATTATATTAGGTTTTTTAACACTTACGTTAGTAGAAGAGATGGCTGGGTACACGGGGATGGGGGGTTGGTTCTGAGGCAGAGGGCAGATTATTGGCCCTCACCTGTATCACTTGTATCACCTGTATCACTATCCACCACAGAGGCTTGCAGGGCCTCTTTGTCAAACCCCTCAAAGTCCATATCCTCACTATCACTGACTTGGGCTGGCTGTGGTGGGTGGCGGGTGAAGAACTCGGTAATGTTTTGTTGACTGGGCGACCTTGTGCGCACCCTGCCCGCGCCGCTTCCCGCGTAAATGATGGAAAATACCGCGTAAATAAAAATTGTCGGTCTGGCAAGGTGCCGTGTAAATGACCAAACGCGTAAACGAAATCCGCGTAAATCAAGACTATACTCACTGTATACTATAAAATTATATAATACTGTACAGTATACAGCACAGTATTTTCTTTATTTCTAAGCCAGATTACAGTATTGTGATGATGCACAATTGAGGCACAGAATCCCCAATTTTTCCAATTTCCCTCCCCAAATTTTCTCGGCGAGTTGAAGATCGCCAAATTGAAAATTGATGATCGCTAAAAATTTTAAATCGCGAAACCGAAATACAGTGAGTTCTGCTATAACGCGTGTTTTGATAACGCGAATTTGCTCTAACGCGATTTATGAATTCGGAACAATATTTGTATAACGCGATCGCTTGTTTGCTATAACGCGATTTTTGCTTACTATTTCTCCAATTTTGTGGTATTAACTGTGAATATGGTAAAGAAGAATATCTCCAAAAAGCATTCTGATGATAGAATTCCCGGTGATTATCGTAAAAGAAAGGATATAACACTTGAAGAGAAGCTTGATGTTATCAACCTCAAAATCACCCTTCTCCCCATCAAGTTACATTCATATTTTTTCAAGGTAAAGTGTTAAATTTACTGTATGATTTCATTATTAGATATGAATGTAACATTTATTTAGACTGTGCTATCCTTTGTGTTAGGCTAACTACTAAATTTTTTCGATTTCGAGTAATCTGCACCTAACCCTATTTTCTCCATAAGCCCTGTTATTTCTATTACGCGATTTTCTATAACACGATATTTTACAAGAACACAATTATCGCGTTATAGCAGAACTACCTGTATTGCTAAGTACACGATTGTTAAAAGAGGGATACCTGTACTACTGTAATTGATATTACAGTGCCCATATTTGAATTTAAACTTGATTAGTTTAAAGATAAGAATAACTTCGCATTGGATAACTTTTTATCGTGTCAAGAACACCCTAGTTTATTCAAAACTGTGAACAAAATGTAGCTCCACCACTGCTGGAACAATATTGCTTTCTTGCCACATTCCTGGCTTCAGCTTATGGCCTCTATGTCCTGGACAACAAAAAAGTGTTGGAGAAGTAGAATAGAACAGGAAAGTCAACAAATTAAAAAAAAAAGTATAAGTTCCTTTTCAGTGAAGGGGACATAATTATTATGTTTTTATTGGTCAGCTTCTACACATATATTTGTGATGTACCCAAATTTACTAAAAATTGCAATTCATTCAGAAAAATATTTGCATGATACATTTTCAATATGCCCTCACATTAAATAACTTATTCCCAAATACTCAAGTTGTAAACAAAGCACAATTTGTCTTCTATAGGCCTTAAATAACTGTTAATATAGTTTAAATCTCTTGAAATACAGTATTATTCATTTAAATTTGTGTTTAGTGAAGTACTGTATTGGATGTTGGCAAAGTTTACACATTTTTCCCCATTGATTCTAACGCCAGAAATTGCTGGTAAATTTTCCGTTAACACAAATTTTTCTTCCGTAACTAGAGCCACGTTCCACACTTTTTTAATTCCATTAATGTAAATTTCCATAGCTTTACTGTACAGAAAAAAAGTATTAAATATTAAGAGAGGAGGAGGATCTTTTAAAAGCCATTACCTTGGGGTGAGAGAGTGAGAAGAAGCAGTGATAGTGAAGGGCAGTAGATGGGGGTGGTCAGGGGACAGGGTGTATCGAACGATATTCATTTCTTGTCCTGGCAGGGTCATCACACTCAACTGCCGTCCACCATCCCCGCTGCCCACATCTACACCACTACCAAATTCTACCTCAGACATTCGTGTTCCAGTGTTAAAACCTACAAATTATAATAGTCCATTAATATTCTAATTTTTCTTTTGTACTAAAGTTAAATAATAAATGATTAGGTTACAATGAATACTTATCTACGTAACTCTAAACACAACAATATATGCATCAGGGTGGATGTCTTCAACATCATCCCTTCTTAAATGTTTACTTAAGGGTCATAATTTTTTTCATAAACTCTATTTCCTATTATCAAGCTTCTCTCAGTGACACTTTTCAATTCCTCTGTAATTCCACAATTCATACCTGGCACTCCATATTTACTTAAAAATCCTTTTCTCTTTTTTGTTCATCCACTCTCACATTATCTCCTTTTTCCTCCTTTTGAAGCTTGCAATGCAATAATTATGGTATTCCAAAAGTCTCTTTCTTTTATCATTTCCTGGGGCATTAACAGTCACAATAACCCATTTCTCATACCCTAATTCTAACATGAGCCAAAATTTCCTGCGACTGACCCAAGCATTCAATTGTGTAATAGCACATTTTATGACTCATCAAAACTGCATCAACTTTAGTTCTACCTAACCTAACTTTACCCTTTCAAATATTCATGATCTTTACTCCTTAAATGTCTCCAGTAATATCTATGCCCTTCAATTTTGTTTTGTTCAAAGCCAGGACACCCAGGTACCATTCATTCATCAAATCTGAACTTCAATCACTCCTACTCAGGTCTTCTTTGCTCTAATTTCTTTATGGTAACAAAAATACGTTTTTTTTCACCAAAAAACAACAAGCAGTGATGTCTGTAATCTTTTCAAAAAGGGTGTTTTGTAAATACTGTAGAACTCAAGTCCTACTTCATTATTAAACATGAATTACAAGTTAAAGAAATGGGACATCGTACTGCAATAAAGATATCTACATTTTTCTATAGTTCTCACCTTCTTGTGATGTAGTCAAGAGTTGTGTGTTGAGGGTTAGAGTGAGATTTGGGTTGCCTGGTAAGAAACAGCGGGCCAGAATGGAGCCTGTAACCTCTGCCCGAATCACAGTACCCCCTGATGCTACGGATGCCCACACTTTCTCCACCACATCCACATACAACTGTAATTCAAATGTTTGATGGAGAAATTACAATAAGAAATGAGATTAATGGACAAGCAAGATAGAAGAATTGCAAAAGTTTCAGGATATCTGGGTAACATGTTAACCAAGAACAGAAAAGTATTTTGAAATATATGTAGACTGTCAGACCTGACAGTACAGTAATCAGCAGCACCATTTAGCTGCCATTTGCCATGCTTGCAGGGGTTTGCCGTGATTACCTGATGTTATAATGTCCTGGTTGTCATCAGGAATATTTGAAAAAAGCTGAATGGGTATACAAAAATAATGTGAGCCCATAGATATGGTGAAGGCAGTTGTAAGTACGCATAGAGCGAAATATTTAACCACACCCTTATGCATAACTATTATATAAACTTACTAGTGTACTAGAAAAGAAAGGAAGTCTTATAGAATAAGAAATTCTCCTCTGAATAAAAATATTGTATCTTTAATCTTAACTTTTAAACTCCATAATACAAATCTGCAGCTATCTCTGTTGTGCAGAAAAAAAATTGTCTTTGTACTTAAAAATTTACTTTATTTACTTGTTAATATGCATGCATTACAAAAGGAAAAAAAAATATTGTACTGTATAAAATGAGTACAGGTACCAGTACTTTTATTTTTAGAAGGGCTGGCAGACTCATAATGTTGCTTCCATGAGCTCTCCAGGAAGCTTACTGCACTTTATAATAATGTTCCGTGATAAGTATTACAGTACAGTGGTCCCTCGGTTAACGAGCACAATTCGTTCCAGAAAGTTGCTCAATGGGTTCTTGGGTAATTGGTTCCAGCTCACCGAAAATTACATACAAACTAAAAATAAATGCAGTAAAGTACACTTACTTTGAGGTGTGCATGTAGAAGGCTCCTGGTTGATGATGATGATGATGGGAATTAGAATGGGGGTGGTGGAGAAAGGAGAAGAGAAGGTAGTGGGGTGGAAGAGAAGTCACCCCATGCCGCCATTTCACCCATAAAATTTTCGTTCACTTGGTGTAATTCAAGATTATTTTCTTTAAATCAACACTGCACTATATATTATCAATATGTAAAATATATTTCAAAATGACCAATAATTTGACTGGAAACACAGAAAAAAAGCATTTATGTTGAAGAGTCTCAAACAAGATGTTCCTTCCTCTGAACTGGTAAACAAACTGACGCCAAGCTTGGTGTGTTGAGTGGCTGTTTGGCGCGCAAAAAATAGTTTCCTGTGCTTCAATTATGTTCAATAATTGTTAAAATGACTAAATAAATTTTTACAAAAACTTTTAAAATTAGTGAATAGTACAACCTTCTTGATATTTACTAAAATGGTAAGGAATTTATGCCCTAGAACCGATTACTGTATTGGCGGACTAATACTACAGCTGGTGGGCAGCCAAATGCAGGCGAAAACATATTGGGAAAAATTCATAAGGAATTCGTTAACCGAGGGTTTGCTTGTTAACCGAAGTGAAGAATCTTATGGAAGGTAATTCGTTAATCGAAATTTCTTTAACCGAGTCGCTCGTTAACCGAGGGATCACTGTATACAAAATTACTGAAATCCAGTTTTCAGTAGTTATAAGTGTTTATTTACATGCAAACTCTTATGGACATTGAGAGAGAATATATTTCTCCCAAAATATTCATGTAAAGTTACACTTTTCATCACTCTTAAAAAAATAAATAAATAAATAAAAAATAAATAAATAAATAAATAAAAAATAAATAAATAAAATATACACAGTTCATTATTTATGCTCTGACCGCATTTTAGTATTTTTTATATTTTTGGTATGAAACTCCCTAAAACTTTCCCCAACACAGTGGGACAATGGGATATTAAATTTTTTTTTTTTTTTGTGTAAGGTATGTGGGGCTCTTATGGTTGGTAACTCCACTGCTAGAGGTACACAGACATGTGCATTACATGACGTTAAACAAAACATTGACTGAATAGGGAAGGAGATATTTGCTCAGAGGTGCCCAGCTGATTACAGTGCATTAACCAAAGTGACATCAAGCCACTCGGAGTTTAATTTGTGGTGGAAAAACCGAAAATGTTTATTGGTGCAGATCGGATAGAAGTGAAGCATGCAACGTCCATAAATGCAGACAGCAGTTTAAAGAGTTAATGGTAATGCACTTTCATTCATCCCTCTTTAGTTTAGTCCCTCCTTGAAACAAAAGCTCCCCAGTTATGTCTGGGAACAGGAGGGTTGAAACAGAGTTGTGTTCATGTTTAACCCATAACTGGTCATTGATGTTCAAGTGCGTGATGTTACTCTCTCTGGTCATTCACGTACTAGAACGTTTTTCAAATATACTTTTCCTGTGCCTTTGAAAATGAGCCTAACTACCATAATTTGTTGGCTGGTGGTGTCTGGCACCTTGTGTAAATGTTTCCCGCCACTCGCCTTGAGAACACCACCCCTCCCCCACCCGGTGGCCCCAGCCTCCAGTCTCAATAGCCATGGCACGTGAAGGCAAACCGGTCACTCAGTCAGGATAAGATATACTCTGAATTATTTGATAGGGGTGAAGATAAACATAGTATTGACAAAGGCATATATTGATAGTGATATTGAAGGTAATGATAGTGACCTGGACTGTGTGTGTAAGGGGTTTATATTCCAGTACAGTCGGCCCTTAACATACACGGGTTTATAATACACGGATTTGCAAATACGCGGATTGCCCCGCCGGAGGAATATTCTGTACATTGAAGTAATTGAAGTACATTCAACTCGTGCGCGGCACCGAACACGGGACACCGCCCGCTCCCGCAACCTCTCACACACACACATTGCTCTCCCTCACTCAGTCAGTCTCGCTGTAACCACGCTTATGTTGACATCAGCATTGTAGTTGCAAAAATATTACATTTCCGTGAATGTATTATATCAAGCACAGTATGAATAGAATATCACTAATATAAGAGTATTTTAACCGAAAACTACTGAAAAAACGAGTAACAAATCTTGAACATCGGAAGGTTAGGTAAAGTCTTTTGTTTTCATGTAGTTTATCCTAATTTACATTGAAATGCATTACATTTCAGCAAAACTACTATTTATTTCTGAGAATATGGAAATGTAATATTTTGCTGAAATGACGTACGTATTACAGTGGAAAGTGACGAAAGCAATGACTCGCTTTCTTTCGTTCAAAAGATGTTACCGTAATCGCTTTTCGAATGGTTTTCAGTTAAAAAACTGTTGTATTACAATAATATTCTATCCTAATTCACTTGTGATGCAACAGTTTTTTTAACTGAAAACCATTCGAAAAGCGATTACGGTAACATCTTTTGAACGAAAGAAAGCGAAAGTCATTGTTTTCGTCACTTTCCACTGTAATACGTACGTCATTTCAGCAAAAATATTACATTTCCGTGAATGTAGTATATCAAGCACAGTATGAATATAATATCATTGTAATATAACAGTATTTTAACCGAAAACTATTAAAAAAACGAGTAACATCTCTTGAACATTGGAAGGTTAGGTAAAGTCTTTTGTTTTCGTCATGTATTTTATCCTATTTTACATTGAAATACATCACGTTTCAGCAAAACTACTATTTATTTCTGAGAATATATTCATTCAGGCACAGTTTAGGTAAAATATACATGTGCTGTAACATTTTTTTAATTGAAAACGATTCGAAAAACACGTACCCTCTAGCCCTGTTCAAGGAGAAGACTGGGAGGAGCTGTTTGGTGCTTAAGACGATGACAAGGAAAATGATTTTGATGGATTTTAATGAAAATATTCAGAAAGACCCTGGCACTGTCAAGGAAAGTGGCTGCTGAAGGCTTCCGGGACATGGCAGAGGACGAAATTAGGGAGCTAATTGAAGAGCACGACACTGAGCTGACCGAGGAGGATCTACAGGAGTTAGTAGACTCAGGCAAGGAAGAGGAAGCGAAAGGGAAAGAGGATGAGGAAGAGCATCAAGAAATAACGTTGGAGAAGTTGGGGGAGATGACCAGGAATATTGAGGCACTGAAAAACCTGGCCTATAGTATGGACCCCTCCGTGGTGCGTGCCCTGAAATTCATGCGAGGGATGGATGGCGTTTTCGCTCCATACAAAAACATCATGGAAGAAATGAAAGAAAGAGACGACAACTCCCCATCACCATGTTCTTTGATCACCGAAGGAGAGATTTAACACCATCAATCACTGGCGGCAGTGAGGAAGCAGCTGAATCCACCGTCGCCCCCACTTCATCACCCGTTATGGAATTGAGTGACAATGAGCCCGATGACCCCCGTCCTGTCGCCGAGGATAGGTACTGTACAGTAAATTGAAATTTTTATCTCTTTTTTTTAAATAGCTTTTCTTGCCATGTTTATTGTTTGTAAAAATGCACAGCACAGTACAGTTCAGTACTGTACATAGGAAGTGGAGGTGCAGTTATTCACAAAACATTTGTGTTCGTTGTCGGCAGTAGTGACGGGGAGGAAGCAGAGGGGGTGGAGGAGGCAGAGGAGGTGGAGGAAGTGGAGGAGGTAGAGAAGGGAGCGGAGGGAGCGAGTTGGGAGGAGTGGTGACCTTGGAAGCGGGAGCAGGGACAGGTGGAGATGCCAGCCAGTACATTACGGGTGTATTAATTGTTTTTATAGCTATTTTTGCATTTTAATATTAAATATTGTACATTACGTTTCAACAAAACTACCATTTATTTTTAAGAACATGGAAATGAAATATTTTTGCTGAAACGATGTACGTATTACAGTGGAAAGTGGGATAAAATTGTGACGAAAGCAATGACTTTCTCTTTCTTTCGTTCAAAAGATGTTACCGTAATCGCTTTTCGAATGGTTTTCAGTTGTGGGATTATAAGGCTAATGATAGGATAGAATATTATTGTAATACAGTACGAGTACAACAGTTTTTTAACTGAAAACCATTCGAAAAGCGATTACGGTAAAATCTTTTGAATAACGAAAGAAAGCGAAAGTCATTGTTTTCGTCTTTCCACTGTAATATGTACGTCATTCC